TACATCTGAATTTCCTTGTTCAACCCTCCAAAAAACTAGAGTGTAAAGAATAGACTTCTTCCAGGAGATAGTCAGAACACTGGTGTTTTTATCTCAGACTTTGAGCTGGAAAGTATCCACAAGCGTTATACTCTCATTCTCAAAGATATCATCCACAAAAGCAAGGGCTAGAGAGAGAATTATCAGACAACATAAGGGAATATCAGGTTCTGGATGTAACAAATATTTCACACTATTTCTTGTTAGCCTCTAGTGCCCACCAGTATACTTCCAGATAATACTCACAGTTCACTGGTATTTCTGCCTCCTTTTAGTAGTAAAGTTCTAATAACAAGGACTAGGGAATCTCCAGAATCATCCATAGTACCCCCAACTACAAGCAATTGCATGTCCTATATACTTTCAGTTGTAAGGTTCCTAGCACTTTAAATAGTAGCTTACCTTATATGTAATGCATTCATTAGTATTAGCATATCCAGATGACTCAACCAATATACCAGGTCTGGAGGAGGTATATGATATTAACTGCATTAGCAGAGCAGTTTGAATTTGATATCTTTTATGCAAAAGGCCCCCAGCAACAAAGTACCAACAATACTGCAATAGTGCATGCAAGTTGGAGGAGGTACAGATTTCTTTTTCTCCAAATGGGGGCACTATAATACCCTCATCTATCTCCAATACCATGATGAACTAGAGCTGTGGTCAATACCCCTCTCCTAGTGTAGATTTGTATGTGAAGACTTATACCCTGGACTATTTTATTTGTGTATTCCTTCTCATACTTGGTGAAAAGCTCCGGTTTCTCTAATTGAATTTCCAATACTAACAATTGAAGCCTCTTATAGTACGTAAGGATGGTGGACCTAGAAGGGAGATGTTTCTTCTTCTCCATTATTTCTCTTGCCTTCCAGGAAAGAAATGCGCAGATGTCTTTTGGGTCAAATTTCTCTAGAGCCTGATCTGGATTGACATTCTCCTCCCGCACATCCTTATGAAAACTAATATTAGCCTGTTAGAATTTGAATATATAGGAAATATAGTAAAAGTTTACTAGATGCAACTTTCTTTAATGTAACCATTCGCTTTCTCTATGGGCCTGGCCCATACCATTTTTAGTTTGTTGATCAAATTTGGACTAAGCAACTTGTTGTTGATATTAAAAGGCATTTCTGGAGTAGTGGGAGCTTAGGAGGAGCTGAGGAGGAGGAGACTGCAAGCTTATATATTCATCATTCAGCTTGTTGACTTGGAATTGGCACTACCTAAAACTATCAATACTTGTCATTCTGAGCTTTTAATAACTGGGTCATAATCACAGGACCCTCTCAGGTTCTCACTGACTAACATCATAAACGAAAATCACCTCAGGCTGGTAGACTCCCCCCCACCCTATCTAACCATAGAAGGTTATTTAAACACTCGGTTAGCTTAGTGGAGATGAACTTTATGTGCTTTATGTAACCGGTATGGGTACTTGGTTATTGGTTTTGTTTTATGTTTTGTTTTAAGTATCGCTTTGATACTTGGTTTGTTTTAAGTATCGTTTGATACTTGGTTTTGTTTTATGTTTTGTTTTAAGTATCGCTTTGATACTTGGTTTGTTTTAAGTATCGTTTGATACTTGGTTTTGTTTTATGTTTTGTTTTAAGTATCGCTTTGATACTTAAAGAGTTTTACCAAAGAGTATCAATTGATACCCTTGATTAGTTTCGTTCATGCTAGACATGAACAGATTTGTGTATTTAAAGACCGCCTGTTTCTACGATAGAAAAGGCAGACTTCGACAGACAGTATTTCAATATACTTGGTTGAACGGTTACTTCTTTGTTCCTCAGTACGCCCTCGAAGCCTCCTTTAGTTCTCAGCTCTCGCCTCCTCTCTGGAAGAGCAGGCCACCTGCCAACTATCGTATCTATTATCGATAACGTGATTAGCACCTTGCGAACACGTTACACTTTATCTACTAGTGTAACATTTGTTGTAGATTTCGCAGGGATGTAACTAGCTTGCTGAAAGATACTCAATAAGGTCCGTTGTAAAAAAGAGCTCTTCTATTCCTTACTGGCCTCCCTCAAGAGGGATCTGTATCCCACAGTCAGCCTACCATGGGTAGATTAAGACCACTCTACTACTCCATCAACAGGTAAGGTACACTAATCAGAACCTGTCTAGATGGCCAGAAAGTGTCTATTCTTCAAAACATGTCAACAACCATTATGGGATTTTGTTGGACATATCTAGCTTGATATAAAAAAATACCTAGGCTTAGTATATGGATTTTCTAGAGGTGCATCACTTGGTGATGAAGGTTTTTCTTTATAATATTATGGCAACTTTGAGTAAAAATACAATACCACTTTGCTTGGAATTTTGCGGAGGTATCATATCTATCTTGATAAAAATATGCCTAGACTTGGTGTAAAAAAAAACAATAGGTTTATAATACAGTCTTCACCGTAGTCACTGCAAAACTGAGGTGGTGGTGAACAGGGATCAATGACCAGTAATTTTCTGCAACCCTAACCTTGACAAGTTCCTTTTTTGACTACCAAATACCCCTGTTTGCCACTACCTTAGTTTTGCCACTACTATGTTGAAGATTATATTATGGCAGATTTATGTAAAAATAGAATACAGCGTGGCTTGGGTTTTGGTATCTAGCTTAATAATAATATGCTCAGGCTTGGTGTAAAAATAATAATATAAGTTTTATGAATTTTGCGGGATGTCTAACTTGGTGAAAATATTCTATGATAGCTTTGTATATTGATACGACTTTGCTTGAGTTTTGGCATTTTTCCAACACAAATATGCCCAGGCTTATTGTAAAAATAATAATATAAACTTTATGGGATTTGTGTGATGTCTAACTCAGTGAAAATATTCTATGGCCACTTTGTGTAAAATATGTACAGCCACTCATTATAAGTGTTCATGATCTGAGACCTGTTTAATTAGTGATAGCACCATACTATGGTAGGGTACCATAGTGGAGTTGCAACCAGTAATCATACATATGAACGATCAACCATAGTGAACAATCAATCAACTGATCAACCACAATACCCCATAATAAATTGTAAAATAGAAATAGAAATAATACTAGCTAGTACTTTGTATATCCTCCTCCTGTCTCCAAAACTGCAGCTACTCTATTTGGCATTGATTTCTACAACTTTTCAAAAACCTTCTCAGGAATTGTCTCTCAAACCAGTGGTAATACATATGCAAGCCTCCTCTTCACAGCTTCTTTCCCTCCTAGACTATCTCCAATTCTTGGATATTGCTAATGTAATGGCTTTTTAAGCTCAACCCATACATGCTGAATAGGATCCAAATCAGGAAAATATAGAGGGTGCTCCTCAACTGGAATACAATTTCTCTCAAGCCAATCCATATCACTATATGCCTTATGAACAGGAGCATTATCTTGCTGAAAAAGAATATCTTCAAGTTGTATACCTAAAGAAACTATTTGATGAATAACAGGAAAAAGATGTCTTCTTAAATGTCTAATATACCTAGTCTTATTAATATTTTGAGTAATAGAAACCAAAAGACCTTTACTTTTACCCTAAAAGCACCCTAAACTATGCGTGAAATTCTCTTATCCTTCTCTTTTGGATGAATACACTCAGTCAGCCACTTCTCTCTCGGCTCTCTGAAAACCCATTGTTGCCTTGGATCCTTGTATTTCTCCACACTACATTCATTACTCCAAATAACTCTTTTACAATCCTCAGCAGTCCAATCTTTATAAGCAGTTGCCCATTTCCATCTCTTAGCAACATGCTCAGGTTTGAGTGTGAATCTTGATTTGGCTAGCCATTTTTTGATATTAGCTTCTCTAAGTACTCTATCCACTATTGCAAGTTAGTTAACTGAAATCATATCCTATCACTCAGCCTAGGAGTAGTCATGGTGGTACAGGCTCTCAGTGTAGTACAAAACTCCGAGTTTTTTTTTTGTTACCTGTAGAAAGTAATATGCCAGGCGCAAATTTATCCTGGAAGTCAGCTCTTATCATTTTTCAATTTAACTTGGCTACTTGAACAATTGTACAATGCTGTCGCTAAGTAAGGAGGCAAGGGTGACCAGGAAGCAGAATATTATCTAGTAATTGCTGTTCACATGCTCAAGCAATGAAGCTTTTAATTGTTGTCCAGGGCCAGCCAATAATTTGAGCCACTAGAGTGATATTGCGAAGACAATAGAAAAAGGCAATAATCATGCCTTTTTCAATATTGGTCATTTCTCTTCTGGAGGTCTTTGGAGGAGGCTTATTTTTTGCAGCAGGTTTGGAATATCTGGATCAGTAAACCATGGTTGAATTATAGAATAGGGGGTTTTGGTAGAGACATTGAGTTGAATGGGCACCACAATTACCAGTTACAATCTGGCCTTTTTTTTTTTTGGCAAGGCTGCTGACTAAGCTTTCATGAACACTTATGATGAGTGGCTGTATTAATATGACTTTGCTTGAGTTTTGGTATTTAACTCGGCCTAAATATGCTCAGGCTTGGTGTAAAAATAATAATATAAGGTTTTATGGGTTTTGCAGGGGTGCCTAACTTGGTGAAAAATATGCGATTGTTAGCTTTGTGCCGGGTATTGGAGTTTGTGGGATCTTGCTTGTGTCTGAGGCATCATGTCGGCTTCTGGTATTTTAAGGTGGCTTGGTGTGTGAAAATCTGCCCTTTGTGGGGTTTGCGAAGTTCTTCTACTTGGTGAGAAGATGTCTTCAGAGGGCATACTAAACATCTGGTCATGGAGCCAAACCTGGCTCCAAGAGTCTGTTTACGGTTTCAAGATGCTGCTTTGGGGCTGTCCGGATCATCATCTAAGACCATAACGAGTGATATTGCATGGCACAGTGAATAGTTGTATTATCCTAGTCCAGGGCCTAGTCACGTGTTGAGCTGACGTCAAGAACCTTCTTTCACAGGCAACCACAGAGGACTTGTCTACCTCTCAGTTAAATTAACTCAACTCCCACTGCGCAGCCTCTGAAGCTCTAAGCTGGATTCCCGTCATCAACATCATCACCCCAGCCATCAGGCCTCTTTCAACATGGTAAGTAGTTATCTTATACTCTCCTGTCCTTTTCATCATCCCCTCCCAGCCTACTCCTACCACACCGCGCAACAAACCTGTAAACAGGCATTCGGCCATCCAGATCCAAGCTAACTCAACTACCATCCTACGCCGCAAACAGTTCGGTGGAAATTTCTACGACGACGAGGTTATGGTCCCTAGCTACCACCCACGCAACCGGCGCTTTGATGAATTCCTCCGCTGCTACCCCATCGTCATGATGTCGGGAGCGGAGCGCGCGGAGTTGAACTTCGGTGGGAAAGTCATCATGCCGCCGTCTGCCCTGGATAAGTTGTCGCGGCTGCACATCGCCTATCCGATGCTGTTTGAGCTGAGGAACGGGTCGAAGGATAAAGTCACTCACGCGGGTGTGTTGGAGTTTATTGCGGAAGAGGGGAGGGTTTACTTGCCACATTGGGTACCAACTATCTTCCCCTTCTCTACGTGTCTTTCTAGGAGGCAACTGATGTGGGGGATGAGTAGATGATGAAAACCCTCCTCCTAGAGCCTGGCGAGCTCCTCCAAATTAAATCCACCGACCTCCTCGCGGGGACATTCATAAAGCTCCAACCCCAGTCGACGGCCTTCATAACGTCCATTACAGATCCCAAAGCAGTCCTTGAGAATGCACTGAGAACTTTCTCTGCACTGACGGTTGGCGATGTATTTTCCTTCTTTTACAACGACCAGGTCTTCGATATTGCTGTGTTGGAGGTCAAGCCAGAGACCAAGATGAAGGCCATAACAACCATTGAAACGGATATATCTGTCGACTTTGCTCCCCCGGTCGGGTACGTCGAGCCTAGCCGTGCTCCGCAGCCATCAAGACCCGGAAGCGTGGTTGGGGGGAGAAACATAACACCATTGGGCGAAACAGGCAGCATGGCCAGGAGCATAAACTATGCAGCTATTGCCCCGTCTGGCGCCGTCATCACCGCCGCCCCCGGAGCAAAGCAATCCTTCTTCGCAGGAGGCGGCGGTCAAAAGCTCAAGGGCTCGAAAGCTAACACTCCAAGGGATAAGCCTAGCACCCCTGTCGCCGGCGTTTCCTCGAATCCCCCGCCACTCGCCATCCCCGCACCAACTATTAGGAGAGGCACAGGCCCGCAACCGCTCCGCCTCCCCCCCGGACAACTATTCTTTGGGTACGAGATCAAGCCCGTGAAAAAGAAGGATGGTGGGCAAGGCGAGAAGAAGGAGAGCATGTTTTCGGGATCCGGACAGACGTTGAGGGGCGGTAACGCCGGTGGGAGAAAGAAAAGGGGGGATGAGGCGGGCAAGGGAAAGGGAAAGGGTCTGGAGGTCATTGAAATTGATTGATTAGTTTGGGGGGGGTGTTGCTTCTTTCCTTTTATCTCTTTGTGATAGGGAATAGATATGGTCGGGGCCGCCGTCGGCGTGTGTTTGACAATTAATTCATGTGATATCGTGCAATGTGCCCTAGCGGCTCCGATGATGTTAATCACCGTGAGACTTGTATCGACAAGGCGCAGATAAGTGCTGCAAGCTTTCAACAAACCGTTCCATTTGTTAACCCAGCTAAAGTAAGTCATCTAGGTATCGTAGGTATGTACAAAGACTTTTCTTTCCCTCAAGACCCAACATTCCCACCCTAAATTTCCTTCCTTCTCCTCAGCGCAAGCAAACAACCAACCCCAGCCCGAGTGACACCCCATGAACAATCCAACCTGACTATGATATTACTCGGTATAATCCTCATCATCACTCTCAGCCGTTCTCCTAACGCCCAATATCCCCACTCCACCACTTCTCCTCCCCCCTCCCGTGCCACGACTAGCTCTATTCCTCCTCCCACCACCACCTTCACCACCCGCTCCGTTCCCAAAGTCCAAAAAGTCCCGCTCGGAAAATATCCTCTCGGCCGGTCTCGAATTATCAAACCTCACCTCGCCGCCGCTGCCTCCGGTCCAACACCTTTGAAAGGCGGACTTAACCCTGGGCTCCCAGGTCTCTCGGAAGGTACCGCGGGCCCGCCAATCCATGTCCAGGATGCACCAAATGGCTATATCGTGCATGGCGGATAATCGCGGGGCGGCGGATATGAGGGAGGAGAGGAGGGCGGAGCAGGCTGTTTGGGAGGTGAACTTTATGAGGTTCAAGGTGAGGGAAGTTAAGTCTTGTGGCCACTGGGTGGGGGTGGGCGGGATGGGGAGGATGGAGAGTGGGGAGGGTATTGATGAGGCGGTGTAAGAGAGGGTTTGGAGGGTGGGTGGAAGGAAGAGGGTGAAGGAGAGGGTGCAGGATGGGGAGTTGGTGATGGTCAGGGACGTGAGGGTTGTGCTGCAGAGAGGGGATTGGAGGAGGGAGGGGAGGTTGTCTTCTGAGGAGGTGAGGCGGGGGCAATTCGTGAACGATAACTTAGTCAATCTGGCCCCTGGTGCTCTGGTGGTGAGCTCTGAGGAGAAGTGTTCATTGGCGACAGAACAGTCTTCAAACGCCACCTCCCTCAACGCCCCCAATGATGCTAACACCTCCGCGCAGCCCTCCTCCCTTGACAGATCCCCTGCCGTCGCACCTTCATCGTTGCTCTCAATCCCGACCAGTCCCACCCTTCGCAGCCCCGAGAAAGGCCGGAGGGAATGCACCCTCTTCAATTCATCGAGATCAATCCTTTCCATGAATTCCCCGCGCCACGTCCACCCATGCAATAGCACTCCGGCCTGATCAAGAACGTTCCATAGCTCGCTCGGGTACCGCCAACTCCTCCCCATTGCACCAGCCCTCACGCTAGATACCCTCGCATGGCGAATATCCACCTCGCGCACACCGCTCGCGAGACTTAGGAACTCGCGTATATCCCAGGCTCCCCATGGCGCTGCACGAGTCACTAGCAGTGGTTCTATGTCAGCTATGAGAGCTTTAACCAGAGGCCGGACATGCACCCGCTCTCGCAGCGTACGTAACAAGCGGTGGGCACAGGGAAGTGTATTCGTCGGGGGGGTGTGGTACAGCACTGCGAGCGTCGGCTCGTAGAGTGTGCGACAGAGGGTTAGGGTTTTTAGCAGGAGTGTCGTATCCGGGAATGGAGAGTTGGGGGTTGAAGCAGCGTAGTGAAGGATTGTGGTTAGGATGTGGTAGGGGAGGGAGGCGAGGGAGTGTTTGTTCGGGTTGTAGATTGTGGTCTTTTTGGGACGAGGAGGGGGTTTGCTGGAAGTGGGAGGTTTGCGAGAGGGTTGGTTAGTGGTGAGATTTCGGCGGGTGGAGGGTGCTTTTGGCATTGTGGTGATGTTTTCCCCTTTTCCCTCCCTGTATCGAGGTGAAGAAAGGTAGGGAATGGTTGTGGTGGTGGTGAAAGGGGGTTGAGGGGTTGAAAGGATTTGTATACTCGAGTGTTATGGATGGGCATCAGTAAAGGCAGGAGTTGTTTGCGGTAAACATGAGTCAGCGTAAGTACACGCAATGACGCAACGCGCACCAATCAAAACGCGTCTTCCGGGCCCCAAAATCGATTAAGGCCCGGAAGCGCTTTACTGAGCTACGAGTATGTTAAGTCCCTAACAAACAGTCTCTTCCTCCATCCCTCGTCCGTTCGTCTTCTCTACAATAGTACATCTATCTACTTCTTTTACTTTGCTTTAACGATAATAATAACAATGTCCGACCTCCTAACCCTCTTCCCTACATTCCCTCTCACGCCTCCTGTATCAAACCTCCTCAACTTCATTGGAGACGCCAGATTAACTACCGCAGACCTCGTAGCCCTCGACCCAATGTCAATTTCCCGCCGCCTCCCATCCCAGTTAAACACCTCACTTCTAGAACTCAAAAGCCTGCAGAGAACCCTAGTAGAGCACATCCACGCGGACATTGCACGGCTGTCCTCGCTTCCACCGCCCCGCACGATAACAACCCACTCGCCAACGCTGGACAGGCTCCTGAACAAAATCCCAACGCAAGCCATCACCGAATTCGCTGGCGAAAGCGGGTCCGGGAAAACGCAAATCCTTCTCCTCTTAACCCTCACCGTGCAACTGTCCCCATCCCGCGGTGGTCTGGGTAGACCAGCGGTCTACATCTCCACCGAAGCCCCACTCTCAACCTTGCGTCTGATCCAGATGAAAAATTACATCTCCCGCGACTTGCCCGTGGGTGAACAGCCCACGACGGATAAGGTCTTTTCGATCGTCTGCTCGGATTTGGAAACTCAGGAGCATATCATCCGCTACCAGCTCCCGGTGCTCGTGCAGAAGTTCAATGTAGGCTTGGTGGTAATCGACTCGATAGCAGCGAACTTTAGGGCGGAATTCGAACGGCCGATGAATAGGAATAAGAAGTTGAGATCGAGTAATACTTCTACACCTTCTTCATCCCCGTCGTCGTCCTCGACGGGGGCGCCCAGCGCGGGCGCCCGGCACGGCAGTCAAATGGCGCAGCGAGGGAAAGAAATGGTGAGATTGGCAGCAACCTTGAGACACTTAGCCATAAACCACAACCTGGCCGTCGTAGTATCAAACCAAGTTTCGGACAAATTTACGCCTTCCGCTAGTTCTCGCACCCCATTGTCGTCGTCGTCGTCGGCGCGGGATAGAGATGACGATGACGATGATATCATGAGCTTAGACTTCCAGTTGAAGTGGTTTGCGGGGTGTGATGAGGGGCTGGAAGGCGGCGGAAAGATACCAGCTTTAGGACTTGTGTGGGCGAATTTGCTGGCTACGAGGGTTGTCATTCGAAAGAGCGAGGATCCAAAGACTGGGGAGTCGAGGAGGAGCTTGAGGGTTGCTTATTCTAATAGAGCATTGGCTGGAGAGGAGGTTGGGATTGAGGTGTTTGAGGGGGGGGTTAAGAGTGTTAATGATGGGGGTGATGAATGTTCGTGAAGAGGTGGTAGTAGTACAGTTTGAGTACGGTATACTAGGTTTGTTTATTTTTCTTGCATACAGGGCGCTGTTTGCTGGTTTGTATTGTAGTGTTTTTGCACTTGTACAATAAATAGTGATTGGGAGTTTTAATCATAGCGAATCATTCGCTCGTCCTGTGAATGTGTGCGTTCCGGAGTAGGAGAGAAGAAGCTTGATTTTTCAAATACAAAGTGAGAAGAGATACTAATATACTACATCAACTGAGCAGTCACACCGGACACTGTGTCCTATACTATCCAGGCCACCTTTCCAACATGATGCAGTAGTGATATCCTTATTCTGACATCCAACTACATGAGGTACCCAATGCGGTAAACCACTTATAATTAGATCAGGGGTAGTCACAGATTGTGAAAACAAACAAGAGTCTTGTGACTAAAGGAAAGGAAAAGGAAACTACCTCTGTACGGCGGATAAGGACTAAGTTCAACACGTCCCGAGATCATCATCAGTGAAAGACGTGAACAGTACGTGAGACCTCTTGACGAGAGAGTGGAAGCGGCACATGGTGCCGCAGGTTAAAGAACCCCCCACAGGATATGTCGGAACCGCGACTATACATTAGGAATATGATGAGCCATAGATACCCTACGTGATTCACGACTATTAGAGCCGAATAACACATAATACACGACTGTTACAGATCCCATCCACCTCAACCCCCCGTACAGTACAGTACCAGACACAACCCTTCCGAGCACTCCGTATCCTAGTCAGTTCCTATAAAGTTGACCGACCAACTCCATTTTGGGATACGAGAAACGGCCAGTCGAACGCCTAGTCTCTACTTCTAATGCTTGTGGTATTATATGCACGTTTGCTCGGTGTGGTGAGGGTGGTGTAAGGGGGGTATCATATCATACAAGCAGTTATGATATAATTACGGGAATAGGTAATATTTGAGACTTCAAATGTGCTGTTGATAGGAGCATTTCGGGGAGCCACGTGGGGGTGGCGGTGAGTAAAGTAAATCTGCTGCTGCCGGTATGTATCATAATATTATGTACTATTGCTTGCGCACTGTTAAGAGGTCTTGAGACTTTGAGAATTAGGGTTCCGGTAGGGTTACTTTATCCAACAAGGCATGGGAATCGTCGATGATAGGAATCAATCTTGTGCAAGTGTTTATAATATGTGATTAATGCTTTTAATTGCCTTTGGTCTCGTCGGGAACCGCGATGTTCAGGTCCCCCCCGGCCAACCGAGCAGTATTGTATTCGGGTAATCTATTATCTATGGGGGAAAAGGAGGGAAGGAAGGAAGTCTAAGAAACATGAATAAAGAAAGAAACCCGAGGCAAATCAGAGAACTTATACTAGAATAAAAACCGTCCAGGTTGCCATAGATACAATAGGATATCGCACCGTGGGTTAGACCTTCTGACTAGCTACCGCATAATAGCATCACTAATCCCCCACATCTAGGTAACGCCGAACTCAGAAAGTGGGCTCACAGTCCCAGTCGCGAGAATAGCGGAATCTGGGAAGAAGAAAAAATAGGAAAATGAAAAAGAGGGAATGGGAGTAAGAGGGGTATGCGGGTAGATGTGGCGAGCTGCCCCTGTCGTGTGGCAGGCTCTTATGGATAACGATAGCACAGCACCCGTACCTTACCATACTACCCACCCCCGTCCCATCCCATCCCATCTTGTCCGCGAGGTGAGCTGTCTTGGTTGACATAGGCTATTGCGCTTAGTTGGTTTGGTGGTGTCAGGATTGCTTAATGGAGATCACATCGAACAGTCATATCTGGTGGTTTTGGAGTCGTGCTGATATGTGTGGTTGAGGAGGGCTTTACATGGAATTTCCTCCCTTGCTCTGACCAATAACGCCCAAGGATGGCTTCAAAGCTCGGGTTTTCGGGACTAACGAAGCTGAGAGATGGGAGGAGTGATGGCGATGTCTTTGAGATAGTAGCGTAGTCTGTACCCAGTCTCAGAGGGTGAATAGGAACCAGGGGGGAAGGGGGGAGGAGGGGGAGGGACAGCCATGGTGGTAGGTTTGTCTGTCTATGGGTGGGGATTTTTACGGATATCTATATTTGGGGAGAGGGGGGAAGTGCTGTGCCTAAATGGTGTTGGGGGTGTGGGTTTCCGGGCGCGCAGTAGGTCTAGTACTTCGCTGTGTTTCTCTATGGCGGCCCATGTGAATACTGTTCGGCCTTGTTTGTCCGGCTTGTCGGGATTGATATCCCCCCGCTCCAGTAGCAGCTTTACTACTTCCACATGGCCGTTTCGGCCAGCCCATAGCAGTGCTGTTTGGTCTCTTTTGTCTGGCTGATTGGGACTGACATCTTCTAGATTGAGTAGCAGCTCCGCCACCCCCCTATTGCCTTTTCGGGCAGCCCACAAAAGTGGTGTTCGACTGCCGTTGTCTGACTTATTGAGGTTGACATCTTCCCGACCGAGGAGCAGCTTCGCTACCCCCACGTGAGCTTTTCGAGCAGCCCACAAGAGTGGGGTTCGGCCCTCTGCGTCTGGTTTTTCGGGGTCGACATCTCCCTGTTCTAGTAGCTTCCTCACCACTTCCTCATTGCCACTCTCGGCAGCCCATAGGAGTAGTGCATTGCCTTCTTTGTCAGGCTTATCAGGGCTGACATCTCCTCGTTCCGGTAGCTTCTTCACCACTTCCTCATCGTTATTCTTGGCAGTCCGCAAGAGTGGTGTTTGACTAAAGCACTTGTCTGAAATATTAGGGCTGACATCTGCCCGTCCCAGTAGTTGCTTCACTGCTCCCTCATGAGTTCTTTGAGCAGTTGACAGGAGTGATGCTCCGCTTTCTTCGGGATCACCGAGGCTGACATCTTCCCGTTCTAGTAGTAGCTTTACAACTACCTTATGCCCGTTCCGAGTAGCCCATATTAACGGTGTAGCACCGGTACTATCTTCCTGGTTGATATTGCAACCTCTCATCTCCATCAAAGTAGCCACAACTTCAACAATTCCGAAGAAGGATGCACAGTGCAGTCCAGTGAACAGAGGATGCTCATTTTTGGGGCCAAGGGCACACCCCACCTTCCCCAAAAGCAATTTAGCTGGTGTGTTTATCATATTGGCTGAAGAGCTCCAGCGCAAGCGATTTCGCGCAATCAGAGAGCTCCACTTTCGCGTGGGTTCCCCAATGTACAGAAGAATATTTGAGAAGGGGTGTGTCCTGGGGATCATGAGAAATCGTGAGCGAAAGGGCTCTGACCTGCCGAAAATTCAAATAGGTCAAGCAGGTTTCTGCGATGGTCGAGTGAGCTCTATCGAAAAGTTCAGGATGACTGGAAAGATATTCCTGGAGGGTGAAGTGGATCAGCCGGATAGTCGAAGATTCCTCGTCCACGACGACAAGTCCTTGACAGCAGGCTAACACTGTCATGACCGAGGGGACATTGTCAATATCGAGATCCGTTGATCCTATCTCCACCGCAAGTGCGTGGGAGAGTTCATTCACCTGCAGCGGCCGCTGCGAATGGGAGATCCACATCAGGGCGGCCATCCCGAGTCTTGATTTCTCCTCACCCTGCGCTTTTATCCTCCCCAAATTTGCACTGTATGCGTCCCCTAATCCTAAGGTGTCCGCAGTTGCACCGAGCTTCTTTCGCCTGCGATAAATGGTTGTTTCTCGTAGGATCGCTTCGATCTTTAGAGAAACTAGCAGAAAGCTAGATATATGTTTGTCAGCAGAGGGTTTGAGGCAAGCTTCTACATACTGTTTCTCCTACGCACGTTTTCGGGGCGCTTTCAGGAATATCCTTTAAGATATCTGCCTCCAGACTATCGTCCATCGCTTCGGGAGTCGTGTCCTCCCCAAGTCTGGCGTGGAGATATCTGATGATATCATTTTCGTTAGGACTTATGGATAGACTCAATGTTCTTCCGCCAAAACGCTTTTCAATCTCATTTTTCATGTAAGGTCTTCCAGTCAGGAATACCCGGGCGCCTGGGGACTTCTGAAGAATGTCTCTGAGTGAATCGAGAAGGTTGGCTCGGTACTCCGGCACACATTCGTCTGGAGCGTCAACGCATATAAAAGCGCGCCGTGAGCTCGAAATAGTCTGTAGTGCTTTGACAACCTCAGGAAGTCCCAACCCCCGACCACCAATAACCTGTTTCTGGTCTCCAAAGGCCTGCGCTATTTCTTCGGGTATCTCTTTTAATCCGCTAACAATCTGCTTTAGAATGGCACCTAACATACTTGTTGGAGACTGCTCATTCTGAGCTGTGAAGTCGCAGTAAAAGCAGGATACTGCGATATTTTTCTCCCTGGCCTGATCGCACAAGGTATCTATTACCAGTGAGCTAAGGCCATAAGTTAGCTTGTAAGCATTGCATTCCACCCATCTATTCCCCCGGGATCATTTCTCTCACCTCATATAGGTCTTACCGACCCCTGGATTACCATGGCAAAATAATACGGCTTTATCGAATTCATCCTGGCTGGTGACATCGTACCAACTTCGAAATTGGTCGGTTTGCAGGAGCCAGTCTCCCACATCGTCGACCCGGCGGGTCCGAACGTCCTGATGCCGTATGCGGGGCTCAAGCGGTGACAACCAGGCCAGAATTTCAGGCCTCTGGTCGACTACAGTGAAGTGATTTGAAACATTAAAAGAGTTGATGTTGTCACCGAAAATTTGAGACATCTTCTAATCTTGCTGTTTTGAATGGTGCAGAGGGTAGTTTGTTGAACGGGATTGATTGGGGGGGATTCCAAGGAACCAAGGAAAAGTGGGGGCTAGAATAACATACCGTACCTTGTAGGAGCACAATTTTGGGCCGTCAAATCAATCGACCCTAAGTCTGTGCGACCAATACTTCCAGATCCGCCAATGATTCCACAAAGTTGAGGAGTATTTTGATACGTTAAGCTATTCAACAAGGCGCAACCAGAGATCCTGATACACCATGAACGAAGGGCAGAGAAATATCGTAAATACTTGTATCCGTTTGGTGGGGTAAAAAAAAAGAAAGGAGAATAGAGACTGTATTTACTACCTACTGCTGACACGATTCCCTCGTACATTCACAGCATTATCCCAGCAATGGTACTTAGCGAAGTCGTCCCAAGAACGACATCGGTGATAACAAATCACGAATGGGCAACCAAAGGCCATCGAATACTTTTCTATGAGTATGATACCGATAAGAAAAATACCGACTTTCGGGGTGGCAATGTGGCAAAAAAAAAGAAAGAAAAGAAAAGAAAAGAAAGGCTTAGACTACACAAATAAAATCGTGAGATACCTCTTGGAAACTCTGAAATCATACCTAAAGAGCCAGTTTTACAAGTAATTTCTTGGAAATTGTCCCCTAGATACGGCACGTGCCTAAGTATTATTTTCACGGATGTCAGGAATCCTCAAGTCCTTGAACTCACCGAGAACCTAATTGCCACTACTAGGTCTCCCTGTCCTAACAAAAATACCCAGCGCAGCCCAGGTGCAGTCCAGGAAACACCAAGATTTCTGGATGGGCAAGTATTTCTGGCTGAAGTACTTGAGTTTATTACCGGTGCCTCATTCAGAGGAGCAAAGGGGGTCCAACTGTAGGCGAGCGAGGCAAATACCTCCCCCAGGTGGGAAAAGGAGGGTAGTGGGCAGTACTAGCACACAAAAAGAATACGAAGGATCCCTTTACGATGCCACAAGTGACTGGGTCATCCCCTTAATGTTAAATCAGAGTAATGGCAGTCACCGCTCTAGGTGCTCGGTCTCATTCCATATGCCTGTCCGTATATACAACGCACTTGTGCAGCGCCCCGGGAGTTATGATATACATATGATAAAAGGAAGAAAAGGAAGAAAAGAGACAAAGGTAGATGCTTTTTGGTTAACAGAGTGAAGAAATAAAAGTGAGTGGGGAGAGAGAGCATAACTACGGAAAAGACCTAGAGCCATATATGAAGGAAGGTAAGGAGGGGGTAAAAGCATTCGCTCAATGATACATAACTACGCATTATTTTTCAAGGCCACACTCAGCATCCCCAATACCTCTTCACACCTAGAAACCACCCATCCCACCCATTCCTCCCATTCCTCCCATACCGCCTCCCATACCTCCACCTGGGGGTCCCTTCTCCTCCGGAGCATCGACGATTGTGCATTCGGTAGTACCAAGAAGACTGGCAACACCGGAAGCATCACCGAGAGCAGTTCTGACAACTTTCAGTGGGTCCACAATACCAGCCTCGATCATGTTGACATATTCGCCCCCGGAGGCATCGTAACCCATATTGAAGTCTCCACCATACTCTCCAGTAAGTTTCCCAACAACCACAGACCCCTCACCTCCTGCGTTCTCAACAATTGTGCGTGCGGGGCGAGTGATTGCCGACTTGACAATCGAGAGACCGAGTTGCTGATCAAAGTTGTTAACCTTGACATTACCTAGTGCGTTTGTGGATGCCTTTAGTAGAGCAGTACCACCTCCAGGAAGGATCCCTTCCTCGACGGCAGCACGGGTAGCATTGAGAGCGTCGACAAATCGGTCTTTCTTCTCTCCAACCTCAACTTCCGAAGCTCCACCAACCTTGATAACAGCGACACCACCTGAAAGCTTTGCAAGGCGCTCTTGGAGCTTCTCCTTCTCGTACTCAGAAGTAGTGGAGTCGTTCATAACACCACGGATTTGTTCACAACGCTGTGCAATAATATCCTTGGAACCTTCACCATTGAGAATGATAGTATCTTCCTTAGTAATGGTGATCGAGCCAGTGCTACCAAGCATGTCAGAAGTAAGCTTCTCGAGCTTGACATCTAACTCATCAGTGAAAACGGTTGCATTGGTCAGAACGCCGATATCCCCAAGGATGGACTTGCGGTTGTCGCCGAAACCGGGGGCCTTGACAGCAACGACCTGGAGCTGTCCACGGAGTTTGTTGAGAACACACACAGCAAGAGCCTCGCCATCGATATCTTCGGCAATGATAACAAGAGGGCGACGCATCGTAGTAGAAGCCTCTAGGGCGGGGATAATGTCCTGAACAGCAGAGATCTTCTTTTCGCTTAGAAGGATTAGAGGCTTTTCGTACTCAACCTTCTGGGTCTTGGTGTCGGTAATGAAATAGGGTGAAACATATCCTCTATCGAATTTCATTCCCTCCGTAACCTCCAGTTCGTCCTCAATGGTTTTTCCCTCCTTAACAGTAATAACACCCTCCTTTCCAACCCGTTCCATAGCCTGAGCAATTAAGTTTCCAATATGCTGGTCACCATTTGCGGAAATAGTTGCGACTTGAGCGATCTCCTCCGAGGTGGTGATATTTCGCTTATTCTTCTGAAGATAGTCGACAACGGCCTCAACAGCCGCTTGTGTTCCGCGGCGAAGATCCATGGGATTGCAGCCAGCGGCAACGTTCTTGACAGTCTCAGTGAAGATAGCACGAGCAAGAACCGTAGCGGTAGTAGTACCGTCTCCAGCAACCTCGTTTGTCTTTGACGCGACATCCTGAAGCAAACGAGCGCCCAAGTTCTCAAATTTATCTTTCAGTGTAATAGCCCTACAACGATGTCGAAGTTAGTTACTTCCCATATCAAATAATAAATTCAGTTTATTTGCATACTTTGCTACCGTTACACCATCTATATGAAAAGGCTATGGTTAGCGTTGAACCTAATAACTTTGAGCGAATGCTAGAATTTACCTTTTGTAATCTTGGGACTTCCGTACGATGATTCAATCAGAACACTTCTTCCCTTAGGGCCCAGAGTGACAGCCACAGCTTTTGCGAGCATGTCCACGCCAGCAAGTAGCGATTGCCTTCCTTCAACACCAAATTTCAATTCCTGTGTCAAAGATTTTCACGTTTCAGCTGTCCGTTATTCGTACCCAATATTATTGACTTATCAAAATTGATGCAATTGACCTGCCCATTAAATAAGCATAGGAGCACTTACTTTGTGAGAGTATGCCCGGGATTGCTGATGGCTTGACATAAGACTTGAAGCAAGAGCCAAGGGTCTCGCGGTTGAGAAAGAGGGACGGACCCTGACAGCGGAAGAAAGTGCTCTCTGCATGTTCAATTGCAGCTAGGAGGATGTTGAATTCTGGGAAGTAATGAGATATCCAAGGATAGTCGAATCAAACTTAATTGAGAAGGAATGGAAGTTGGGGGGAAAGCGGAATTTATGTTCTCTGGGAACCGTTGTCACGGGAAGAAAAAAATTGAGATGGAGAGAAACGTCTGGAAAGTCTTGGCGCAATGCTTCGGAGTGCTAAGCAATGCTCCGGGGTTGAGGAACTCAGTGGGGTAGGGGAAGAACAATTGCATTGTTTCCCAAGAGCGGGGCTGTAACAAAGAAAGTGGAACGCTGTTGCTATCTGTTGACATCCCCTGTCGCTCAGCCAGCCGGTAGTCGTAACCCCTCCAGCACCTCACTTCCTCTCTTCCCACCTCCCCCTAGATCTCTCCCTCCCTCGCTCTCCAAACAAACATTCCGGAAAACTAAAGTTTTATCAACCTCCCCCCCCATCCCTACATAGGTATGTTTTTTTTACTTTCTTGAGTGTTTCCACCATCCCATTTATCCCTTCACCTCTATAGTTCCTTTTCTCCGTACCCCGCATTGCTCACCATTTTCTCCAATAGAACAAATCTTCAAGTCCTTACCTACTCGTCCGTAATGGTAGGTTTATTTGTATCCCATGACCTCAGATTTGTATCTAGCCACTACGACTGTACTGTTGCTAACTCTTATCTTACCAGTCTCGTTCAGGGTAGATTCCCCCATATCTTATTATCCCTACTTGGCTTTCTCCAAACAATTCCTTACCTCACGATATTTTCCCCTCCAGAGAATTCTCCTTATACTAAACTTTGCATATACAGAATCGGCCTTGCGAAGGACGTTGTCGAAAACTTTGAGGAACTCAAGCTCGGAAAGAAGCTTGCCTACATTCTCTACAACTTCAGCCCTGATAACAAAGTTATCGCAGTGGAGAAAAAAGTTGAAAAGGACGCCCAAAAAACCCCCAAGGAACAATACGAGGAATTTATCGATGCACTACCCGCAACCCAGTGCAGATATGCAATTTACGATTTCACCTATGACCTTCCTAATGGTGAAGGAACAAGGTAAGACTTAACATTTTCCGCCCGCAGAATCCTTGAATCTCTTTTACCCCTCTTTCCATTTTAATTTCTGTTATCCCTGATCTGTTGGCCGTTCACGGATTCCCACCGTTCATCTATGTCATTCTTATCATATACTCTCTTCCATATTATGTTTGGTCACACAACTTGATACTAATTTTTTTCTTTACAGGAACAAGATTGTTTTTTTCGCTTGGTCCCCTGATGATGCTCCGGTGAGGGTAAGGAATTACTGTTACTGCTGTGCCCCGACAGAGAGCTAATCCCAAATGCTAGAACAAAATGCTTTGTGCATCCTCTAAGGACTCTTTGCGCCGTTCGCTCACCGGCGTTGCGGCCGAGATTCAGGGAACAGACTACAGCGAAATTACGTTTGATGTGGTGTTGCAAAGATTCGCCGGAAAACAAACTACTTAGGTCCAAGGCTCTTGCGACTCGGTACCTCGTTTCCTTGTTATCGCAGCTATAACTTCAGGCGCGTTTTTGTCTTCCTTATCACGGTTCCTATAACCCAAAAGCGGTAATATCAAGTTCCATGATGAATGTGCTGTTTGCTTTTCTCAACTTTTGTGTGTGTGGTGGTGGTGCATGTGATATTCACACTTGTGTTTTGCTGTATCGAGGCGATAGAATCTGACAGGAGAATGTGGGGTGTTTGTATCCACAAGGGGGAGGATTGCTGTATCGAAAACAATTTGGGTTTACTTCTTTCAAATACTCCAATGGTTTGTATAGATATATGTTCTTTTTCCCTCTTGGTTGACTCGCCCATCTCCGAACGGGCGAATGAAAAGTACGAGACTGAAACATTGTACTGGTTCGGGATCCTCTGCACAGCTTGTTCTTCTAGCCGCCCTGCTGTGTCAACACCCATCACGTTACCCAAGATCCCCACATCCTCACACCGTACCAAATGCTGTTGCCTAAAAAAATTCAAGAGCATAGAGTGGGGTATCGGTACTGGTACTCCCGCTGATATCGAGGCTGGGGAACCAGCGGGGAGACCTCCGGGCGCTGGGAACCGCTCTTGCAAGCACGACACCTGTAGCTACTTGCATCGCATCTCTGACTTTGTTGGGTCTAAAATCGCCTTCAGGCACACAGCACGCATATTCCCACACGGTATCATACTTCCGAAAATACAGAAATCCCGATAATCATCCAGACACATTGCATGTCGAGTGATATTGCAGTTCGTAGGTTTACGCCATTTCGCCTGGGGGAGATGATACCTTCCGGCCCATACAAAAACTCCTCGTTGCACCTGATACATCTAATATGTATGGTGGACTGGTATACAGTAAACACAGGTATGCCCCAAATCGGCCAGTACACAGGGGTTTGACATTCCTCAGGCCAGGAGCAGCACCAGCCTCCTCCGCCTGCCAAAAAAAAAAAAAGTAGATTGTCCCTAAAGTCACGAAACTTCAGCGCGTAGCAACGGTTGAGGATCAGAACGGTGGTTGCTACGGACTCTTACCTGTACTAGTACTGTACAGTACCGTACTCGTGTGCCAGTATGGCGCCAAAGATTCAGAAGTGTCTGTGTTATGATATGACCGTGTTTTCGCTCATCTAATGTGTCATTTTCGTCCGGGTAACATTTCCTCTAACCACAAAGAACAATTCCCTTATGCCACCCTCCCTCCCTCTCCCTCCCCGCCACTTTCTTCTATCTTCGTCCTCCACAGGCAATCTTTCATCATAAAAACCCCAAACCCCCACCAAACCTTCATCGTACGGCCACCCAACCCAACGATAACCAGAATCCTACGCATACCAAACTCTCCCGATTTTAACAGCCCAATACGTGATGTCCGGTGGTAAAGGGAAATCTCATGGTGGCAAGGCCAGGCCTAAAGGTGCAAGTGACGGAGCTAGGCAGCAAGTTTCGCATTCCGCAAAAGCGGGTTTACAGGTGAGCAATATTTTTATTCACACTGGGAATTGTTGCTTTCCTAGCTGGATTCGGGGGTTTGACAGTGGTGTCGGCAGACTTGCGCAATCGAGCGGGAGACGAAAAGAGCGCCGTTTTAGACGCGTGTTATTGTGTCGCCCGTGTTCAGTTTGCACAAGTCTGTGGACAGTGTTGTTTACAAATCCAGTGCGATTTTTTCCCCTAGATCACTCGCGAAGAATTTTTCATTTTTCATTCATTTAACAGTCGCTGATTTTGTCTTGATGTTCTAGTTTCCTTGCGGCCGTGTCAAGCGTTTTCTCAAAAACAACACACAGAACAAAATGCGCGTCGGAGCAAAAGGTTTTCTCCCTCCCTGTTCTCTCCCGGGCGAGGCATTTTTGCAATAGTCTAAAGTGAACTTTTCTTTTCCAAATGGGCAATCCCTGTCCTGCCTCGCCCGGATAGGAATTTCGCTATCATGGAATTCCCTCACCGTTTATCATTTCGTTTTTGTTTTCCTCTGATAGAACAATAGCTAACACAGTGTTTGTGTTTGTATAGCTGCTGTCTACGTGACTGCCGTCCTCGAATACCTCACCGCCGAAGTCTTGGAACTTGCGGGTAACGCTGCGAAGGATCTTAAGGTAAAGCGAATCACGCCCCGTCATCTGCAACTTGCGATCCGTGGAGATGAAGAGCTGGACACTCTCATTCGCGCCACTATCGCCTTCGGGGGTGTTCTTCCTCATATCAATCGCGCTCTCCTTCTCAAAGTCGAAAAGAAGAAGGCTTCCGCGCCTAAGAACCTATAGAATCGCAACTCGCCCAGCAAAACATGGAATAAACAGAACTTCTGATTTACCTTAGTGCCTACGACTTTTCCCTCGCGTTTATCACTTCCTTTATAGTCGTACCTTGCGGGATCTGCCGTACCCGCAGTAATGGTTCGTATGGATGCACAATGATGATGATATCCTCCTGGATAGAGAAAACACACAATCATGATCCGGGAATGGGGGAAATGGTGTTGGGAAGCTTTTTTTTTATTCCTTTTTTTATTTTTTATTTTTCGTCGTTTTTATTTCTTGTGACAGGGGTTGGAAGGCTTGGGAGGTTGACCTTTTAAAGCGGTAGACGCTTCCATTTGTACTCGTAGGATGGGCCTATAATTGCCTGGATGAGCAAGGTTGTAATACTAGCTGTGTTTTTCCCTTTAATGTATTCCACTCTCTGGCCCCACTGCCGTATTTCAAACAAAAACCACTCGTATTGTTACTCGGTGTGCTAATCAACCTGAGCCATAGTCTACATAGGTGGGAGATCTCCAGCTTGACTTCAAGGTACTAATACCGTATCCCGCGCTTGTAGCAAAAACCACGAACGAGCAAACGCCACATCCCCGGGTTCCAAGTCCCCACGCCACCGACCCATTATCCGCTCATTATAAGCACACTCTTTTACCCAAGCTTATTACGATATCCTGTACCAGCACAGTATGATATGTACGAGTACTATCGGTATGCTACACCGGTTCGTTCCGGGGTAACTTATGCACCAATAGCACTCACAATCAGAATTCCCACTCTTAGAGCAGAAAAGTGCTATAAGGTTTGCATTATACATACACGTGCCAAAGATACCGTGTGGTAGCCCCGTGCCGTACAGTAGTAAAAAACATACCGGTGTCCCGGGTCCTCAAGTATGATATACCCGACACAGTGTCCAAGTCTCAGCTCTTCTTATCGAGTATTCACCGTTCTCGGCCATGGCCTGCAATCACTGTGATATAGACAGGGTAGCTATTATGATATACCATTCCATTATTTACCAGCACAACAGCAGGCCGGGTAGACCTCCACTGTAGGGTAGCGGTTTCTACATAGGGACGCGGAAACATCGCACACAATCCACGCTCTACAGTGCTCGCAATTCGTCGTGGTATAATAGAAAGGTCTCATTTTCAAGTTATCATCTTTAAAATCCCACCCGAATCCCCCCATCTGTACTCCTAGATAAGTTAAATTATGATATGCACAAAGTGGAAACCCCTAATTTACTCGTACAGTGGTGTGATATGTACTGTACAGTACTCAAGTTGCCGGATCGAAGTTGCGTTTTTTTTTTGGTAGCGACAAGTACGAGTACATTCCACTCTTTCTAAATCCGAGCCAAAGTTATTCAACAGTGCTGCAAGCTATCATTTGATACTTGTCCAGGACCAAGGGGGTCCATTCGGTTGCGGTAAGAAGCCAATACCGGTAGGACGAGACGAGAAAGAGCAAGCGGTCTACGTACACTAACTACCTCCGGCCTTCCCCGGAGCTCTATGCTCACCGAGAGACAGTGCCGGCCAAGTTCCAGTTGATAAAACAAAACAACTCAAGGAAAAGGCTTCACCATCCACCATCCGGCTTCCATGGTGCAGTTACCACTCCCCCGTCCCGCATGCTTCGCTCGAGCACCGCACCGCACCGTACCATCATATCGTAGAGATACTCTTGCCTATCATACGCAATTATACCTATCCCAACACAACCCAATCGTGCATCCCACGAAATAATGAAACGCCCAATGCTCCCCGAGAACCGGATGGCAACAGTGAGGGAAGCTTACACGGAAAAAGGCCCTTCCAGGGTGCAATTTTGTTTTGTCTGTCAAATCACATCAAGCCACCGGTTGCTGTACCGTGTCAAAGGACCACCACACCGAATGCTATTCAGGCTCTCCTTCACCTATTCCAACATGCCCATATAGATTACCCCACCCCACTCACTTACCATAATCTATCATACCTACCGTTTACCGTTAGCGGCTTCTAGTGATTTCTAGGTTTTCTGTGTGCTCGTAACCTACGCCACCGTCAGTCGTACATGCTGTGGTGATCCGGGGGGTTTTTACGCTTTTTACTTTCTCCTTCTCTTGTACTTTACAGTACCATACAGTCCGACAGTGATAGGGCTCAAGTCCTGACCATCTCTGAGACATCTTGTGGGGGAACACGGTACCGGTCCCGGTATCATAGCTGAACTGCGACATTGGGCAGTAGTTTAATAGAGCATGATGTATCACTCGTGAATCACGCGGTCCCATACCCGTTGCAACATCATCCAATTAGACTTATTGATAGTCTGTACTGTACAGTACTGTACCCTGTAACCAGAGCCTTCACTAACTTGGCAGAACTCCGGTCAACTTCAAACTCGCTGACCAGAATATTGTCCACCACATTCCCAATACCAGTACCGGTATCGTTCAAGCTAAAGCCTACCGCCGCCATAAGGGCTTGCGTTGCCACCGCCCTTGCGGCAATTGCACTGCTCCTCCTTGCCACCCCAGTAGGTAGAGGTGAGGTCCTAAGGATTTTGGTTGTGTGTATTTGTGCTTTAGCGATGAATCCTCCTCCTTCGCTGAAGGCACTTCATCCGGGCTATCCGAGATCGATAATCTGGATACTGGAGCCCTCTTCGGAGGAAACTGCCGATGGGGGAATGCCTGTATCTGGATCTACTCGTACTAAATTATCAGTTGTTCTGCATCCAGATATCGAATGACTGACTCTACTTGAGCACTCAGTGCGTACTCGAGTATACGGGTAGAGTAGGTGGGGTAGGATTTAAACTACTCCTCGGCGAGCAGTGTGTGAGGGCCCAAAAGGAGGAATAAAAAAAAAAGGAAAGAAAAAGTGGAGAGTATCATAGACACGCAAGCTGTTATACCTTCGGGATTTGTCTCGTTTGTGTTACTCCCAACACCAAAACTCTCGGGGGAAAAGAGCAGAAGAATTGGCTTTCTGGGAAGTGTTGCAGTTGGTATGTGTTACAGTGTGAATGGTGGTTTGATTCGGTATGATACGAGCTTGTCCTGGAGCACACCAACTCCAGTTGCATCCGGATTATTTTTTTGCTCAGGACATCATACTCTCCCCCCCCCTCTTTGCTCCCGGTGATATTTTAAGGAGAAAGAAGGCACCTGTACGAGTAGGTTGTGGTATCTTGCTTCCGAGAAATCCGGGACTAGAGAATGGGCCTCACCCTTTGGTGCCCCGTGGTGTCCACCATGGTTGCCACACCACCCACTCCAGCGCCATCGGTAGGCATCCGGTGGAGATACGGTGTTGCTTGAGTGATAGCCGGTGATGGTAACGGTGATTCTGCATTACTGTATCCGGCGAGAGCTGTCCGGTGCTTGCACGTCGGATGCAACATTTTGTTCTCGTTGTCTCGAGATCGCGATATAAAACACCATACCCCAACCAAGGACTAACACTTTCGGCCCTCTGACTTTCACCCAATTGTAGGTTTCGGATAATACGGTACCAGTGGAGAATCAGTTGTTGGGCAGCTTTTAAATAGGATTGAGGGCCGCCCCGAGAAGGGTTGATTTTTGAAAAGTAAGCTTTCCGTCATTGCTTCCTGCTTGGAAATATTTTTCTTACCTTGCGACCACGTTTGCTATCCTATCCTATCTACCCTTTTATATATCGCACGTAAACCTCTTATCTTCTTGATAAAGGATATGAACTCCATCACCACAATGCCACCCAAGATCGAAAACACACCTGCCCCTGTGGACGAGACCCCTCTCACGATAGACCACCTCCTCCGCCTACGGGCCTCCCAGATACCTGACACTCCAATCCTAGCCTACTCCCACAACAAGAAAGAATACACGCAGTACACAGCATCCCAACTGAACGCCTTGGCCTACCGCGTAGCAAAGCACTACAAAAAGTTAATAACCCAATGTGCCTCATCCGAGGCTCCAGAAAGGGTCGTCGCCCTCCTGGGCATCTCCGACTTCGACTATGTCATTTCCTTACTCGCCCTGGCTAAATTGGGCATGGCGGTGCTACTGCTCTCCACCAGAATCTCGGATGAGGCCTACAGACATCTCTTCGACAGGACTGGGTGCTCAGACGTCATAGTCCAGCCAACGTTTGAGAAAACGATGGGGCGGGTTCGGAGCGGGCACGGCAGCGCGCTGAATGTGGTCTGTATGGCTTCGCGGGGACTGTACGAGCCGGAGGTGGCGCCCGAGGAAGAGAAGGGCCTAACGCTTGAAGATATGAGGTTTGATACGCAGCTCGATATGGGGGTTGAAAGCTCCAAGAATGCGTTCATCATCCACTCAAGCGGATCCACGGGGCTGCCGAAACCGGTTGGTAAGTACTATGATACCCTATCCCAAAGCGGTGACTACTGAGGGGCGGATTGATAACTCATGATTGGGTGCGCATACAGGTCAAACGCATCGCACGGTTATTGGTAATGCCTCTGCGATTTCTATGAATCCTACTTCGTCGTTTTCGACTCTACCACTTTTTCATACTTTTGGCCTTACGGCCATGTTTGGCGCCATCTACTATGGAAAGGTCACCTCTATTCCCAACGCTGACCTGCCCATCACTGGGAAGAACATGATCGCGGGGTTGAAAGCCACCAGACCAGAGACGTTCTATTTAGTGCCTTACACACTGAAATTGATGGCGGAGACAGACGAAGGCATGGAAGCCATGAAGATATGCAAGTCGGTTTGTTCTGGCGGGTCCGCATGTCCAGAGGAATTGGGAGACAAGCTCGCCGCGGCCGGAATTACACTCGTAAGTTACTACGGATCGTAAACCCCCCCCCCCCCTCCCCCATAATCCTCCATAAAGTCGAGAGCAAGATTAACAAGAACGGCAAAACAGAACCGAAGGAGGAGCCCTCCTCAACTCCTACCGCCCCGAATCCGACAAGGATTGGAACTACCTCAAAGCCATCCCACCCGCACTCCCCCATATCCGCTGGGAAAAGTACAGCGAAAGCGTGTACGAGCTCGTCCTCCTCGCCGGATGGCATGCAAAAGCCTTCACCAACAACCCCGACGGCTCATACTCCACCCGCGACCTCTGGCAACAACATCCTACCGACCCACTCAAGTGGAAGTACGTCGGCCGCCTCGATGACACTATCGTTCTTTCAAACGGGGAGAAAGCTAGCCCCCTCGCTCTCGAGGGCTCGGTGAGGGACAGTCCATACGTCAACGAGGTCGTCTGCGTCGGTGTTCAACAACCCACCCTGGGACTCTTGGTTATCCCCACCGAGCGAACCATCGGAATGTCCCGCGCGGAGCTCATCCAGAAGATGAGGCCATCTATCGAAGCTGGGAATGTTCGTATGCCAGCTTACGCTCAGATTTCCGCTGAGATGATCGGCTTCCTGCCAATAGGGACACCCTACCCGGCAACAGACAAGGGCACCGTGATCCGTCCTGCGTTCAACAGAACCTTCCGGGTGCAGATTGAGTCCATGTACTCCAGGTACGAAGAAAACAACGCCTCTGAAGGCCTTTCCCTCTCAGAAGAGGAATTGAGAGCATACGTCCGCAACACGATCATTAAGACTCTAAAACTTGAAGACACCACCGCCCTCCCTGACGACACGGACTTCTTCTCCCTTGGCCTGGACTCCCTCGGGTCAATGCAAGTCCAAGGCAGCATCCGTCGGGAACTCAACACGGGCAAGCAAATCGGCCAAAACGTCGTCTTTGAGAAGCCGACCGTGAGGAAACTAGCTGGGCACTTGTACCGTCTTCGCACCGGAGAAGTGGAGAAGGAGGAGGATGAGCAGTCCCAGATCGAAATTATGAAGGGACTGGTAGAGAAGTACTCGCACTTTGAACAACACGTTCCCGGAAACTCTGATAAGCAGGGCGACTACATCGTAAGCCTCCCCCTCCATAAAAAGGTGAAATGTCGTAAAAATAATCATTACCAAGATCGTAACCGGCGCAACGGGCTCGCTAGGCGCACACCTAGTCTCCCAACTCGCCACGAAACCCACCACGCAAAAAGTATACTGCCTAGTCAGGGCCAAGGGTCAGCCCAACGCCCACGAGCGCACGATCCAATCCCTAAAGCTCCGGCGGGTATATGAAGACTTATCGGCCACCTCCCTCTCCAAGATCATCGCTCTACCCTCAGACTTCAGTGACCCGCGCCTCGGCCTCTCGGAAGACGTCTACGCCGAGCTCCTGGACAGCGTCAACATTGTCATTCACTGCGCCTGGCAGGTGAACTTCAACATGGACGTCAGCTCCTTCGAGAACGCGCACATCAAGGGCTCGCACAACCTCATGACGCTGTGCCTAAAATCTCATCGCTCGAGTCCTGCCTCGTTCAATTTCTGCTCGAGCATTTCATCTGTGGCGAATAACTCCACCGCAGAGACCATTCCCGAGACACAGCCGAAGTACGAGAATGCCATGCCGATGGGGTATGCACGCTCCAAGCTGGTCACGGAGAAGCTGTGTGATGTCGCTGCGAGAAGAACGACCCTATCGGCGAGAGTGCTAAGGATCGGACAGGTCAGCGGTGATACCAGGTTTGGGATTTGGAACGCGACGGAGGCTATCCCACTTACCGTTCGCTCAGCGAAGACATTGGGTGCCCTACCAGCCCCGGTGAATGATGAGGTTGTGTCTTGGGTTCCGGTTGACGTTGCTGCCGGGACTATTATCGACCTCTCGTGCCTCCCCCAGCCTGCCCAAAATGAAGCTTCAGTGTTCCACGTCTCGCACCCGAGACTCCTATCTTGGAACAACGACTTCCTACCAGCCCTCAGGGTCGCCGGACTCGAATTCGAGAGTGTAAAGCCTACAGAATGGATCAGAAGACTTAAAGCCGTCGCTCAGGATGCCGACGTTAACCCCGAAGTCAAGCTCTTGGGGTTCTTCGAGGGGAAGTACACTAGCGACGAGGTTAGGAGTGCGCCGTACTTTGAGACCGTGAAAGCGTGCGCTGCTTCCAGGGCGCTTAGTGGTGTGGAAGATATCAAGGACGACATTGTGGGAAGGTATTTGGAGTTTTGGAGGGAGGGGTGGTGAATAGCATGATGCTATGGAAATTGGAAAATTGTGGATGCGAATTCTCGAGCTCCACCCCTTTGTTAGTTAGGTGCCCACGATCAGTGTTTTGGTTATCCTTCCCTTTTTTATCTGCGCATTATTATTGCAGGTATGAGAATATCATTATTGTTTATGAATGGTCTTTCCTCGGCCCTCATGGCGGCGACTCCTTGTCAGAGATGCCAGCGAGCGGGCAAGTAGACTATGGTATTATAAATTGTAAGTTATCATAAGTCATGCTCTCTTCCAGAGCGGAGTACCTAGTATTGTACAATACATACCGGTACTGTACGTACTACCGCAGGATCGTGTGGTATTACCAAACGCACGGCCTCAGTAAGAAGATACCCTACCGCAGATAAACAGCATAGAGACCCCCCAAAGTCCCAGACCTAAATAAGCCTGACAACCCCACGACCTATACATCATACAATTACCAGCTATCTATCTATAACATGTGTGTAACTGGTACAAGTATGATACTCTTACCTGCGCAATACTCAAGTACCATACTAGTACATCCTCACCCAATAAACATTTCCACACGAAAAAAAATTTAAAAAAAAAAGCCGAGGGGGTAGTCGGGGGATGATTAACTCCCCGTTCCTATCCTTCACAACCGATAATACCCAGAACAATAACACCTCACGACATCGTCAACTATAAAAACCAACCAACTAACCCGTCGCCAGTTCGGCGCAGACCAGTTCGAATTCCGCCGGCGCGGCGAGAGAAAGAAAAAGAAAGGCGAATAAATAAGACTTTCATCCAGTTAGTTCCGACTATGATACGGTACAGTACATAACTATACATACTCGGAGGTGGAGGGAGGATGGAGGGGAGGTAGGGAAGGGCGTAGGATAAGATAAGTTCCAAAAGCGATTTGGATCCAGTAGACTATCGGCAACTCACGATATTTGTTTTTTTGCCGGGTTGTATCATAGTTCCTGGAAGAAATGTATTATACTCTCGTATCAACCACTGCACATCACTAGTAGCTTTCCCCCCCTCCCCCCGCCAAAAAAAAAAAAAAAAATTTCCCGGCATTTTTTCTTCTTATATTGTCGCCAAGACGTTGTTCAAATTCCACCATGGTCCAAAATAAAACCAGCGACGACGACGACGACGAGTTATCCAAGGAAGAGGAGGAGAGGCCCATCCATATCATACTGGAGTGCTAGTACAATGGATATATGCACGGGGTCTGTGTGCGCAAAGTCTGTAAAGTATTACAAGTAATATTTATCGTTGATCCCAGTATAATAAGGTGTAGAATAACTTAGCATAACGACAGTACTCCTGCTCCACGACGTGCGCCATCATAACTAATCACTCGCCAGCTCGATTCCAAGTTGGGTTTGGTTACACAATCTGCGGTCCGGAGCTCGCTCGTGCGGGTTAGCACGGAGGTATGGTGCGCTGTGGGGATATTAGAATTATTACATTCATGTTTGTTCTACAATACGGTGGGTAAGTTAACCGCCCGAGTAAGTTACCCAACACTAATAAAGGAAGCCATCCGTGACGCAAGGGCCAAAAGAAAGAATGATATAGGAAAGGAAACCAGCAATTGACTCTACTCCCTCCCGCAACATTAGCACCCCCATCTCCCCCTCCTACACAACACTACTCCGCGACAAAATCCTCAATATCAAACTTGACACTCCTGGCAACATGTCTGATATAATCCCACCCAGCATTGACCCTCCATTTGGCGCCAGCCTCAAGTACATCAGTAGCTGAAGCCTTAGTGAGTAATCTCAAGCTCGTCAGCGTCGCAATCTGCGTTTGTATATCAGCCGATGAGGACATTCTGTGTGGGAGTATTGCCGCAAAGATCGCTTGAAGACGTTCTAGTGGGAAGGCTTGGGGGCCGAGGAGTCTTCTGTGGATCTATGGTGCGGGGTATTAGTCATTTAGATATGAAAGGGAGGGGAGGAGGGGGATACCTTTCGGTTCTTCGCAGTGCGCTTGGTGGAACCAGTGGTACCGCCTCGTCGCTTTTTTCTGCCAAAGTCGTTGTTTTTCATGAAGAATACTGCATCTTGGCGGGCGGGGTTGTATGATGCCAGGTATGCCGCGCAGAGAAGAAATTTGGAGTAGTATGGGAGGTCGTGTACTAGTTCTCATTAGCTACCCATCGTCTTCCTGACCGCATGGAGGAGGGTTCTGACTCACTCTTAGTAACAGCCTTTTCCCCAGCCCCCACCGGAACCACCACATCAATGACGTTCGTCTCTCGCCGGAACATATCCTTATGCAAAAGATACAGACTCGAGTAATTCCTCGTCCCATACTCCCCTTCCGCAATCGGCTTGACGAACGGTTCCCACATCTCATCGACAATGGCTCGGAACTGCACAACGCCCCGGGCGGTTCCCTTCGCCAGCGAGTCCCACACTGTTCCGCAGAACTTCTGCCAGACATAGAGCTCCTCCTTTGCGTCCTTTTGCGTGTACTCCTCGATGTCTTGGAAGGGTATTCGTCGGACGTATTTTGAAAGGATCTTTATGCTCTCCTCCTTCGTGTAGGGGGCGAAGTGGATGTGTGGGGGTTCTGCGGAGCTCAAGAGGCGGGGCTTTGGAACTGAAAGGATGAAGATTACTGTTAGGATCGGGATCTGCTCGGCAGGGGATTAGCATATGCCCGTAGATAGCAGCTAGATAGATACGGAGAACACACCATTTCTCCCAGCCTCCCCAGAGCAGCAAACAGCACACTACTCCCTTCCCTCGTCCTGTCAACGCGATCCAGCACCAAGAAATGCTTCCGTTCAACACCGCTCAGCACCCCGGAAAGCCTCACTCCAAGAGCACACACATCACCTGCCCGTCCAGCATCACCACCCCCAACATTCTCCGTGACCCCCGCGCTGATACGCTCCATCAGCTGTCGCACCGTAACACACTCATGACAGGCAACCCACGTGTACGAAGCGTTAACGCTGTCCATGAAAGTGCGCAGGATGGTTGTCTTCCCGGTTGCTTCGAGTCCATGGAGGACAATGGCGGGAGGACTGGGGGTTTCATCAGTCCCTACCAACGCTGCCAGACGGCGAATTTGAGGCGCACGGCAAGGGAATTGCTCGTTCATAGTTGTGAGGAGCTCTGTTGGGAGCATCTCGTCGGTCATTCCGTTTTATTTTTTTTTTCTTTTTTATCGGTTGTGTTGTGGGTGGGTATCGTTTGAGCCTGGTTGTTGAAGGGGGAACGCGACGGGAGCCAAAAGTGACATGGAGACATATTGCGTGTCACGTGCATTCAACAGGTTTGATCCGAGTGACAGAGTGACAGAACGTGTGCAAACAAAAAGTGCCCCCAGGACTCAGAGCATCTATCTATTCATATAACAAGCACAAACAATTTAGTCGCTGTGACATTGGCACGATAGTGCTTTAAAAGGAATAACAATAAAACACCCAACCACAGAAGTGACTTTGAAAGCTATTCATTTGAATAATCTCTAACCCCTACCCAACCCCCAATTTCCCAAACTCCACAAGCAAAAGAGATTAAAAGACAGGTAATAATAGGGGAATGGTGCATCAGAAACATTTTTATTAGTACACAGCCCCCCATGCAAATTCAAACATTCCGTTTACTTCATTTGAAGATAGGACTTGACTAAACCCTTTTTGATCCCCCTGCCATCACCTTCCAACGCCCCAATCCAATCCCTCAACTGTACACCACCGCCTCTCTCTCCATCTTCCCTCCACGCCCCAAGCCTCTGTCCACTGTTCCAGCGTTGCTGCCCCCCACCGCCAGCGCCAGTACCATCAATAGTGCCACCAAGGTTATCCCCATCAGCGGCACGTCGAGATGTCAAAACAGAAGCGCCCGCAGTGTTACCGTGATTCGCCATCCAAGCATAGGTTTTCTTTTTCTTTCCGTGACCAAATCCTATTTTGCTCATCATAAGATTCGCCGTGCTATTCGCGGCCCTATGTGTCTGTGCTTCGTCGAGTTTTGTCTCTCGCGCCTTTTTGCTCTCCTTCGCCGTGAATTTCCGATCACCCATGTAGTCTGCTCCGGGAGTGGGAGGGCCGGATTCGGCGAAACTCATCGCGGAGGGAGTGCCTGGTGTCGAAGGGATTGCACCGGTGGCGAGTTGCCCGGTGATGGGATCGCCATTCTTTTTGGCCTTCTTATGAAGACGCTCCAATTCTTTGGCATACTCGTCCTGTTGCAATTTGCGCAACGCCTTTGCCGCCTCATTTGTGAGTGTAGTTGTAGCAATAGCTGGGTTGGGGGTAGGAGGTAGCCCGCCAATCGCAGAAAAAGACCTCTTCAAATTACTTGTATGAGGGGAGACGATGCTGTCCTGGTTATCGGGAGTAGCATCCTTAACAGCATCTGCCCAATCCCCGATGACAACATTCGTAGCCTTTCTCCGTGATCTCGCGAGCACAATGGCCCTAGTAAGAATCTGATTCACCCTCTCCCTAGCTGCAAGACTCAAAAGTGCAACAGTGTCGGCCTGGGTGCCGGTCGTCATCGCATGACCGGCACTGTTTGTAAGGGTGAATGGTTGACAGTGCGCTTCACGGGTCTTACGAAGCAGCCGATTCGCGAGAACGGGTGCCTCGAGGAAGGGGTTGTTGAGATGGTTTGCACGGGATTCGGCATAGCGGCGTTGGACGATGCGAATTGCCTGATCTTCAGGAAGAGATGAAACATTTGATTCGATATGGAGGCGAGCTTCTTCCTCCTTAAGATCGATACCGGCGGAAGTTAAGGCGTCTGCGAGGTCAGTTGGATCGGTTGGTCTAGAGGCAGGTGCTGAGGGTGGCGGCATAGAGGAGGAAGCCAGTTGTTGTTGCTGTTGTTGAGCGTGAGGACCAGGGGGTGTCGGAGTGTTTTGAACATTTTGAGGGCTTTGATATTGCGCTAGTGTGTTGGGATTTGGTGACGATGGGAATGAAGACATTGCACCTACTAGAAGGTGGTAGAGGAGGTGGTGTTGGGAGGCAAAGTGAGGCTAGAATGTTGGATGGCGAGTTGTGGATGTTCTGTGGATGGAAGGTCGCGAGAGAACGCCAGAAAGTCTTGGCGTGTTTCAACCTCAATAGTATTCAACCACACCCGCTCCATTGTGCATGCAATACCTATGATACCTCGATCGTGCCGATGTTCCAATCCCCATAGCAGCTCAATAGTAACACTGCTAAGACAAAACACTGTCAACACATTAGCGGAATTATGATAGAAGGGACATTATCCAAAATCATCCCAACCATTGATCCCCGTGACCGATTTTCTATTGACCCCATTGCACTCTCGATACTTTCTGAGCCCAAACTTGGACAATGCCATTTCAAATACCACAGGCCAGTCCCCACAATAAAACACCTGCGATACCATACGCACAAGCAAGTCACATTTTTATAAGGATCCACCCCTATCAGTAATATATCAGCAATATGAGGTAGGTGTCTTCTATTCGCTCCAACGATGTGGGTTCACAACGAAGAAAGTTACCCATTGAGTATGATAATACAATAAAACACTCCCAACCACAACTCAGTTGTACTCGTACATCGGTAGGACATCTCTCTTTAAAATACTACACTTAGGGTGTGAGCATAAGATTGTGGAACCTTAGCCAATCTGTCGAAATTTCTATATGTGTAATCGTTTTTTCCCCGGCTACTGGGCCAATCCACTCCAATTGTTGATGAAGGAGGAGGGTCTGTTGAACTCTCGCCCAGTGGCCAGGGAGGATTCCTTTCCCTGTGTGGTCGAGAAGCAACTGGGCCAAACAGAGGGATTTGAGAGATTCACCCTTGATACGCTGCACTTTACTCGTACAGCACCAAACCATCTGAATGTAACAGACCTGACATCCAACCATCATCATAATACCAGTGCCCGAGTGCCCAAAGTGCGCGTTCATGTGACAGTGGACACACCCATCCCTCAGCGGTAGTTGATGAAAAATTCCACAGACAATTGATCACATGGGGGCCTATCAGAAATAGAGTAACTCTTCTGTCAGTATATACCGTCAGTATATACCGTCAGTGTTGGACTTTTCGGGTTGGAAACCCTATCAAAGAATACAGTTGTCGAGTCGAAGATTGGTAAACAATGGCATTATTGCTACCATTCCTTTTGGTCCAGAAATCTATCTGTAGAACACCTCCCCTTTTTCTTAGCATTCCTCGAGGTTGGTGTTTCCCGCATAGATTCGGCTTCTACGCTGCCCCACTCAAATACAAGGAACACCAGGATTGGGAATTATACTCAAGTCTTGTGCACAGTGGGTCAGGTGATGCATAGGACCTGTAGATAACGCTGCGGCCAGGTAGAACAACATAGTCGAGTAGATCCGAGATCTAAGTAAGGGCGAGATAACATGAGTTCCTGGAATCTCCAACCGTAACGAGTAGACTACCATATTCAAGTAGAATCTCAAATGATTAGGCTGTGTTCCAGGAAGTCAAAAATTTCCTTCTCTAACTGAATGGCACAAAAAAATGCTTGAAAAATGCCACACCATACCATACCAGAGGAGACAACTTGAACAAGTTACTGTTCAATTATTCGAGATTCTACGATACCCGAGAGCTGATACCGATACGACCGGTGACAATAAACCCCATTTCCCAAGGAATGAAGCAATCCCCGCCATGCTCAATGTACATCGTTCTCACATCACAACAATTCGCTAGATAAGTTTGTCGATATGATATCTCATGACGTTTCCCAATCCACACGATCCAGATACCGCTACCGAGAAATCTATCACAGGCCATGGCACACTCGAGTTCAACGCGTAGACTGCTAACATGATCACCTCATCGAGCCCAAACCTACCTACCAGCCAACAGCTGGACTAATCCGAACTACGAGCGATGTCGGAAACTACTGCTCCTCCTCCTCGAGATCTAAGTTACCGGTCGACCTGAAAGCAATATTCAGGGACGCCGAGATGAGATCTTCCCCAGCACGCTTGACCAAGGATCTAGTCTTTTTGACGTCGGGAGGACCATCGGGAGTGGCCGCTAAATTCCTACAGTACTTGTAGTACGATACCAGTATTCATCAACACGTAACTTTTCACGAACCGAGTGATCGTATATGACACGACAAACCACCTTGGACCGCACAAAACTTCCCCCCATAAAACCAGAAGCCGCCCAATCCCACTCGCCAACCAATCAGCCAATCAACCAAGCACAGCTTCACCGGTTTCTTATTCGAACCCTTCCCCCCCCCAAAAAAAAAAAAGAAGAAGAAGAAAGGAAGGGGGGAAAATAATCACACTTTTAACACAAATTCTTTCAACCGTTAGGCCGGCTACGGGATAGAACTGAGTAGGCAACAAACACCCCAAGTACGAGTACTCGAGAACACGGTCCCCAGTGATTATCTCGCACTCGTAGTCTAGATCAGGATTACCAGGACTAAGATTAGACCAACAGCTCCAGTGAGTGACTGCCCGCATAACAAACTCGACCCCGCCCGGGAGCACAAGTTAAGCTTCGGCTAACTCTTACATTTCTTCCTTCCTTTTTTCCTGCTCTCTTTTGACACGTTTTCGCCGAAACGGGTAAACCGTTACCGGTACTCGAGCACGGTAGTTGCCAGCGTTATGCCGTGCTGCACGAGTAATCAGGGAAAGAGGAAGCTAGAGAAAATACCGGTACTCGAGTACAGTTATTGTGCGTGGTTGGTCGGTTGACTAGTTACTTGCTGGTCTGTGCTCGTGTTCACTATCGGTCACTCGGTTTGCGCGAGAAGGTGGGTTATTGACGTCATGTCCCATACCGGTAGAAGAGACTGACGACAGGAAGATATCATGAGCTGCGCTGTAGCGGGGAAGGCGTGAGGGGAGTGGGAGAGTTCTACCGGTATTGCGAGAAAGGGGAGGGAATGAGTGAAGTAGATTGGGACCGTTTCGGCGGGGTGGGGATATGGTAGCGGTGACTCCAGTGGGCTACTGTACTCGAGCACTCGAATAATACTGTACTTGTACTTGTATTTTGGATGTATGTTTCACGGTTGGTGGTGATGAACAGTATCATACTCGTATGGTCCGACGGTACGTTATCGCAGGGTACTCGTACATCAGGGCTTAGGGGGTATGTTTCTATCTTTTTTTTATCTTTTTTTCTTTTTTCTTTTCAGATGTCGCGCGAGTGGGAAATACTCGGGTATCATAGCTCACCTGGAGATGATTGTTTTTCCCAGGACGCAGAGAAGTATCGCTACGGAGTTGTTATTCCTATAGGGATAGATAGGTAACCTTTTGACAGCTAAACCGAGGCCAAGAAAGCCCCTCTGCTTGGCCTAGATACATGTAAGTTAACATTCCTGGTCTTGTTTTCGATCTGGTTCATTTTTCCCACGGAAGAAGTTTGCGGTATCGTAGGGCGTACTTGGCGCTGTGGTTTGTTTGTTTTTTTGTCAGCAAGGGGGGTGAGGTGTTTCCTTCTGTTGAACCCACAGTACTACTTGTGGTACTCGAGTACTCGTACATCTACTTGTAGACCTGTGACGGGATTGGTGCCCGTATTTCGTGTCACTTGTACTGTACTCGTGCTCAAGTATGCACTACAATTTTTGTTACATTGGATACTGGTACGCTAGACTACCGTATCTGTATGGAGAATGGTATGATAGACTAAAGACGCGGTCAAATGGAAGGCTCTTGTTGGTCCTCCCTTGAGAAATTAGGTGTTCAGCGCACATCGGGCCTCTGAACCGTCCAGCAAACGAAAGGCGTGGGTACTCGAGTACGGCACAAACCCCAATGTTAGCACGGTACGCTATCGGAGACAAAATTAGGGGTTCATGGAGCCGGCCAATTGTCTGTCACTGAGCCCAGTTCGTGTCAATCCAAGGTGGGGACCCCGCGAGAGGGAACAAGAGTGAGGAAGGAGAAGAGGAGGAGGAAGAAGCAAAAGAGATGAACAATTTTCCTCATTCCCAAAGTCTTGGGCTTGTTTTCCCCCCCTTCTGTCAAATGTTATTCGCGCCTAGCTGTTATCCTGACTAAGCCATACACCAATCATAACAGCCTGACAAACCCTGTAGGCTATCTCACGGGACTTTCTGGAATATCGTGCCCCCCTCACCCGAACTTTCCTCTCTTCCTGCATCTTCCAACCATCCACCCGCGTCGCAACCCCCCGCAGCAACAAGCGGAGCGGCCACTCTCTCCCTTTCTGCCCCCTATCATACAAGTACTTCCCTCCATACTATTACCACTGCCTACCGTCATTCACCTCAGGTCACCTCAAGTCTCATCTCCTGATCTGTCCCTCTCTTTCATTTTCCCGAGAAGAAGGACCCATTCCTCGCGCCACTCCTTTTCCGTTCGACTCTTGACCTTACACCCTCACCACACACACACACCCTTACCACACACTACATCCACCCATCATCTTCATCTTCATCTTCATCCTCGACCTTTTTCATCCTTTTCCTAACTTGTGGATTTGATACTTTGACTTTCCTATCCTCCTGGTAAATAAGCAATAGGAAAAAGTCTGACGCGACTCCCGCTTAAAATATAACATCCTTCTGCCGGCCATTGTCTGCTTTGTGCGCACAGTAATCTACCGTACACCCCTCCTACCGGTTTTCTAGACGGAGCTTTTATCGAGTAGAGGGAGAATCAAGGAGAGAGAGTTGCACACAATACACGTACAGTACAGGATATCAAGGAGAGAGAGAGAGAGAGACAAACAAACCTAAAGCAAAGGGAAATTTTCAAAGGAAATTAGTCGCGCGACACCTTTTTTTTTTTTTTGAGGCTCTCGTTAAAAAAAAAAAAAAAAAAAATTCGTACGCGTCATCTATCGTCGACGTTGCTGAGTCCCTGGGGACCTTTGCTCTCCCTTTCCCTTTACACGTTCATCCCTTTCCTCATTTCTTCCCCTTTACGAGTAATCTACATACGAAAGTTCCAAGATCGTCGAATCCATAATGTCTGCAGTGGTGACTGAGCTGGAGAATGCTCTCCAAGCCATGCAGGCTACAAAGGCGCCCGGTGTATCGGGTACGAAAATCAATCAAATCACAGAACTAAGCTTAAGAAATGTCCAGGTACTTTTTCCTATTGTTTTTAACGGCAGATCATCACATCTCTCACAAAAGAAAAAAAGTAGATTGCATTGTAGAGGCGAATATTCGGTTGCTGACGTTCGTTATCATATCTCTCTAGTCTGAATCTGTCATCATTCAAAAAGTCTACACGCACTTTAAGAAGTGTCCTGGAACACATAAACTAGGTCCTCTCTACGTCGTAGACTCTATCGCCCGGAAGTATCTTGAACAGGCAAAGAGGCTGCATGAGCCAGTATCTCATGCTGCACCTGATGGTACATTTGGCGCCGGGGTGCATAGAATCACCAATTTGTTGCCCGCGTTAATGAATGACATTCTTCAAAATGCTCCTCCAGAAGAAAATAAGGTACGCTATCTTCCAACGAAGAATTTGAAGTATGAAAGAAGAGCATCATTCCAAAAGTAGTCCTCAGCTGGATGAAATAACAATCCATCATTATCCTCTCTACCTACCCCCTTGGCCGTCGAGCCGTTGTATCAATCAATTCTTGACAACGCGGATAAAATACCCCCCATTCCACACTATTATTATCATTGCTTTCTCCTTTCACCGCTTTGAAACACACAGCGCCTGCTTGCATAAGTGTAGAGGCATCCGACTTACATAGAGATTTTGTGTGTTCTAGGATAAAATAGATAAACTGGTGACGATTTGGGAACGCAGTTCCACGTTCCCTCCCGAGGTTTTGGCCGATATAAAGCAGAGGATCGCTGCGAGTCCCATGTCAATTGTCCCGAGTAAGCTCTTATTTCCCCCAACAGCCGGCCCCTGGCCATTTTTAGTATCTCTCTCGGAAGAAGTTCGTATGAAATTGATGGTTTCCTTCCCCGGGTTATTTGTAGATGCTCGCTCGACAACTCCTACTGGCTCACCACCACCTCATCTGCAGTCCCTTGCCGGTCAGATACAGAATCTCCCCGTGTACCAACCACCACAGGCTCACCAGAACCCACAATCCGCGATCCCAAATACGCAGTCGCAAAATGCAACGACTACGGCTGGTATATTGCAGGCTCTGGCTCAAATGGCCAAGCAGAATAAGACTGCCATGCCACCACAGGCCCCTTCTCAGCAACAGACACCGGCCCCGGTCCCACAGTATAGCGCGCCGACCCCTCAACAGCAGCCCAGTGGGATGCCCAATCTATCCCAAAGCGCAAGTTCGCTTGTTGTATCGCAGCCTCAACAGGCTCAACTCCCCATGGCTCAAATGCCGTATACTTCCACTCCCCCTAATCAAAACCCAAATGCTGCTATTCCGATGATGGGAAATCAATTGGGTGGGATGTTCTTGGGGCAGCCCGGCCAGGGGCAGTTTCCTACTTTTCCCCCGCAGCCCCCTCTCCCACCACCTATCCCTCAACAAGGCACTGCACCTGCGGGAATAGAACAGATGGCGCTTTTACAGTTGCTTCTCCAACACGGCGGTATGAACCTCCCACAGCTGACCCAGTCATTTGGAAATTTAGCTTCTGGACAAGGCGGCCCCGGCGCCGACCTAGGTGCTGTTTTGCCAGCATGGACACAAATTATGAATGCTGCCCAAGGACAAAACCAACAAGATTCTTCTAGAAGTGGTGATGACGGATATGGTAGAGGCCAGAGGAACCGTGAACATTATTCTCCCCCGTCCCGTTCCCCGCCACGCTATGGTAGAGATGCAAGACGGGGAAGGTCTCGCTCTAGATCGCCAAACAGATTTGATCGTGGCGGCGGTGGCGGTGGCGGTGGCGGTGGTAGTGGTGGTAGTGGTGGTGGTGCTAGCGGTGGTCGCTCACCACCAGCTTTCAGGCGCCGCAGTCCAGTATATGGTGAATATGAAGGCAACGATTCTCGTGGCCGTGATGGTGAGCGTAGTCGTGGTGGCAGAGGCCGTGGTGGGGGATTCGGGCGTAGAGGAGGATCCCCCCGCAGCCGCAGGGATCGTAGCAGAACCCCGCCCCGATTTTCCAATGGCAAGGGCCAAGCCGAGCGTAATGTCACTCCTACTGCGTTACCTAAGTTTCCTAAGCATGTCGAGTTTGACCCCACAATCGGGCCGAATAATATCAAAGGTAGGCCAATACTGAGGAATATTCCTTTCTCGCTTATTGGAAGTTCCATTTTTTATCTACTTCCTATTTGCTAATATATCGCTACAGTGCTTAGCAGAACCTTGTTTGTGGGTGGTGTAACGTAAGTTGAGAAAAAAATAAAAACAGTTATTCCGTATTATGTGCATAAATCGAACTAATGTTGAGTAGCATTACCGACGACGAGCTCCGAAAACTCTTTGAGAAACATGGATACGTCCAGTCCTGTATAGTCAATCAGGAGAAACGGCACGCCTTTATCAAGATGCTTACCCGCCAGGACGCTGTCAAGGCCCGTCAAGGAATGGAGACATACAGAGCCGATAACATGACCATAAGGGTGAGTTACTTTAATTGCCTCTCCTTTTCTTCACCAATGTGAGAAATGACTCAAGGCTGACTGCTGTTTCCTTCCACAGACCAGATGGGGTGTCGGCTACGGTCCCCGTGACTGCAGCGATTACCAGACGGGTATCAGTGTCATCCCGATAGACCGTCTAACTGACGCAGATCAGAGATGGATGGTTTCAGCAGAATATGGGGGCACCGGAGGCCGACCTCTCGAAGGGGGAATGTGTGTGGAAGAACCCGACATTGAAATAGGTCAAGGTGTGTCCTCGAAAGGTAACTACCGCCCCCGAGTAGTCATGGCTATAACCTGTAGCAAAAAAGAGAAAGAGAAAAGAAAAAACCATGGCTCACAGAAGTGGGCGCACACAGCTATATCCAAACGCTTCCCCACCGACTCTGGCGGAGCCAAAGGACCTCGCTCCTCACACGACAACACTAGTAGCACCGGTAATGCCAGTGGCGGCAACACCACCCAGCGCGACCCTCCCCGTACTAAGCGCAACGATTATAGCGAACTTCACGATCGTACCGGTCGCGACAGCAATATCGGCGTGGCACCTCCAACCCCAGGCTTCGGCACGGGTCTTCCGTTCCCTATGGGAATGATGCCGCCAAATATGCCTCCCGGGTATCAGTATCCCGGCTTTCCCAACCAGAGGTAGTTGGGTGATCGGGCGAACCGGGTTTGAAGCAATTCTTTTTTCTTTTTTTTAAGAAAAAATGAATGAAAGGCAGACAGAAACAAAAAAAAAAAAAAACAGCTTGTGATATTGCGGTTGGTTGGCTGAGGCGGGCCGGAGGGGAGGGTAATGGTATATGGTTTTTCCGGCCGGAGAGCACAAACTTAACTTGACCTTGAGCTTGATTTTAGTTTTAGCTTTTCTAGTACTTTTCTTCTTCTTCTCCTTCTTCTACTGCTATTATTACTCTCCCCTTTCCTCTGCCTGTTCCTTCTCTCCTGATATTTTTTGCTACTGCTACAATTTTTTCTATCTTCTCCTTCTCTCTGTTCCTTTTTCATTTCTGGCGATTGTTGTTGGTGGACGTAAGCAAGTAAGCAAGGGGGAATTGAAACGGAAGAAGCGCCGAATGAGAATCCAGTCGAGTCCAGCCGAGTCGAACGGATAAACGACACTATGACGGCTACAGTGCGAATGACGCTGGCGAGCGAGTGATATCAACAAAACAGCAAACATTCAATTCCCATAACTTATTATACCCCCCCACCAATAGACTAGGCAAAGCACGGTATCATACCGGTATTCCCACCGCAGTGCAATCCAATCCAATCCCACCACAACACAAAACACCGTACGATAGACCAGCCAAATTCATCCCCCATCCAGGGTGCAAACAAACTAACAAAAAGTCGACATGTCTACTTGCCAAGATAAAGACAGGCCCGAACTAACCAGCCAGCCAGCCAGCTAGCTAGCAGATGCTGGTAGCAGTAACGTTGAACATATCGCCGGACAAAAAAACGATGGGGAGTCCTGTCATTTCGACCACTCTCCTCTCTCTCCTCACTGCTTGGGCTCTAGACTAAATTTTAACTATTGCGAATATCACCCTGTTACGGGAGCGTTCGTGGTGGGGTGGTGACAATTGAGTGATTGTGATAATAAACGTGATAACGAATTCCGTCCCTTTGTTTGTGTGTGTGAAAAAGAATCCACTGGTTGATTGGGTATTCTGGAGGGGGGGGGGTCTTGAAAGTGTGGTGACTGGTATCTTCCTGTGAAGGATGGAACAACTTTACACAAATCTCCCTTGAACATCGGTATGCCGGCGCCAAAGATCTAGACTACTCGAGTGATGTAAACCCGTTGAAGAGGACGTCCCATCAGCGAGTTTCAACAATATCATAGGGGAAAAAAAACGAAAGAAAAAAACTTGGCGCCAAGGTGATGTGTTTTGGTGGTAAGGCTGTCCGAATATTTGTGAAACTCGTGAGAAACAAGTTATATAGTCTACAGGGTTCCATATAACGGACATCTATCGGAATATCAACTTGAAATGTTTCAGCAAGTTGTTGGAAAACAACCATTTCTGACACTCTACGCCCCGTCTCCCTCCGCGCCAAGAATCAAGAATCGGCCCCCTTTCCGGAATAAATTGCCGGTACCAACTGGCCCATAGAACGGGCGGGCGGGTGCCAATTCTTGGCCCGGGGGCAAAGAGGATCAACGCGGGCATCATGCCAGTATCTACCCCCGGTAAAAGGTCACTACTGTAGGTCTTGCGGTTTCATTAATAAATATTAGGACTTTTTTTTGGCGTCTGTAAGGATCCGCCACAGCGCATGAACCGGTACTTTATTTCTAGTTACCTTGGCACTCAATTATGCTGTCAGAAAGGCGGAGATATATAATTGGCTAGTAACACATAGTTTACTTACCCCTGAAAACCATCAATAGAAGAAAGCCAAGCCCTACAGTCCTCATATAAATTGCCTCCCCTCCTCTCCTATTGTGCTCGCGTCTCCGAGCCAAGCATTGGCACCCGGGTACCTTTTCTATGGGCCCGCACCGGTAGTATCATATGATGGCCATTCAAACAAGGTACCAATTCTTGGCGCGGACACATGAGAACCCACCTCCGAGCCAAGAATTGGCACCCGGTCGCCCTTTATATGGGCCCACACCGGTAGTATACTCGAGTATAGTATGATAACCATTCCAACAAGGTGCCAATTCTTAGCGCGGAGACACTCGGCCTGTAACCTAATACTGGCAACTATGATGGAAAGGGTGCCAATTCTTTCTTGGTGCCGATCCATGAACCCCGGTATGATAAATCTTGGACGGAAAAACCGCCACTTTTGGTTTTACCTCTTGGCAAATTGTAGCAAACCATACCGGCAGTAAAGTGTAGTCTAGCAAACACGGTGCTCGAGTGCCTGTACGGTGGTCAAGAGCCGGGAGACTTACCGTCAGCCTAGAGGCAAATTGGGGGCGATTGCTGCCCCACCCAAGACTCTAATTTGAGCAATGTGGAGAGGCAATCGAATTCCCTAGCTAGCCAGCTAGCGCAATGTGCATGCAAGACGGGTTCGGTCTGGTCTGGCTCTGTTTCTCTGAAACATTGGATTGGATGGTGTTCGAGAGGGTGTATGTAGGGGGCCCGCCACGCCGCAGCACAGCTCAAACAGGAGATTCGTACTCGAGCAGTTTGTGAGCCGCCAACTGGAAAAAAATAAACTGATGCAGTGGTACCGTACCTGCTTTGGAGGTGGTTTTGCAAGCTTGTTTGGTGGTTTAGAGAGAGAGGATGAGCTTGATAGAACGAGAAAGGTGCAAACACTAGTGTTGAAAAAATTTCAAGCTATGACACCGACACCCCACGCTTTCTCTTTGCAGCACTAATCTCTTGTTAATTGATCTTGCCATCATAAACCAACTGTGAAATTACGTGGTGGACCGAGAGGTCTCACCACGTGCTACGACGAACCCCTTCGAACCGTAGTACACATCCCAGATCTGAACTGGCGTGATGAGGCTTATCCTTTACATTATGATATGATACCGCACGGTAGGCGCACGATGAGGGGAGGTCCCGATGCGGGGTCGGGTGTGGGAAATAATCCGGTCTTGGGAGGAGGTATGGCCGAAGACCTGGTGCCGGTATATACTATAGAATTAGGGTTTGTAGAGCGGAGTAGATGCACAGTAATATTATGAATTAAAGTGTAATATCATGAGTCTGGATAGAGTGCCGCATCGAGATGATACGGAGCCCAAGCCCGCAAAATATCAAAGGCATCTTGGCGCCAAGGTGTCCCCATCGCAACTAAACCAGCGAGTACCGGCAGCATGGCCAGGTATCATTCTTGGAGCCTTTGCGTGATTGGACTTCGAAGGGCTGACCGGGGAGGGTCGAGTGGTGCCTGGCCTTCCAATCGTTTATTCATACGGGTACCTGAAAAACTTGAAGCCCGTTTCGGTTGAGATGTCCTTGCAAGCCACCCTTCGTACTCGTTGCGCAAAAGGCTCTTTCTCTTGGACGGTAGAGAAGTGGTGGCGGGTCTTGCCACCTAGCCTGGAGCAAAGCAAATCCCTCTTCTCTCGTCTCATCAGAGCGAGTTCATATGGTAAGAGATCTGTACGATTACAGCAGCCGGGGTACAGTATGATACCGTACCAGTATGATACTCTATTACTTTTTGCCAAGAAAATATTGCTCAACCTCAACCGCCTCGGCGAGAATTACGGCTCTGTTACCGGTAGGTGATATGGTGACTCTCTCTACACATTAATAGAGAGAAATAGGAATATCTCAGTTTCCCATGGGGAGATACTGGGGTTTAGAAGCAGGCCAAAATTTGGGCAGGTAGGAGCAGGGGAATGTCAAGGGCAAGCCCATTACTGAAGTCATTTATGATACCATGGTAGAGATATCATACCCACGGCGAAAATGGGAGGGCGGCCAACAGGGATCAGTATCATAGGTAATTTTTGTTACCCTACTTTGACGATTTCCTTCTTTGCTGACCAAGTACGGGAGCGTACCGGTACCCCATTCGTCACCCGCTCAGTTCCGCCGTGAACAAACCAGGCAAAAATGGCAAATCCCCCTCATCTCCGACTCTTTTTTCTTTTTCTCCGTCAAAACCAGAATCTCCAAGCGCCAAGGTATGCCTTCCCCGTTGGGCCGTTATGACGTTATAATAATACCTGCCGTTGCGTGGGGAAAGGGAATTTGGGAATGTCGGCGCATTCCGGTGCTTGCTCGTTAGCCAGCTATCGTACCTGTACGAGTACAATACTCGAGTACTCGAGTAGGTTACCTTAGCCGCGGTGGGAATGGGTGAGAATGAGTTTTTTTTTACTATTTTTTTTATTTTACTTTTTTCATTTACAGGAGTGCACTTGCACTCGCGCCCCGTTCCGTCTTGTCGAGATTTGAAAAAAATCTTTTTCAATTGCTATGGAAAACAGAATCTGGCAATAGGTATCTGAAAACACGACTACCGTTACACAGCCACCCGGCGAAAAAAAAAAAACACCTTGTCTCGTCTTCAAATATGGTACTGTACCTTATGCAAGAATCTGATGCAAATGCTAATAAATACCCATTTATCATTTTCACCTGTTTTATCCCTCAAATAGCATAAAGAAATCGAAAAAGAAAAAAAAAAGAAAAATTCCTCAGAGCCTGCCGATATTCCCCTAAATTTCCTCTTAACAATTCCCATGGGCCATGGGACACCTAGTGCAACGAACCTCCCAAAAACATACATGACACTCTTAAACGGCAACAGACGTACCGGCACACAGAAGTCCCCCCCCCCGACTGCCAAAAACACCCAAGATAACAACCCACCACATTTATTTTTATTTTTTCCTAACTTTATTGTCGTACTCTTCTCCACAGTTCATGAAGGGCGGGGGCTTGGTAATCCTGTGCAAAGGTTTCACATTTCCACAGTGCGTCTCCCGCGATGGATTGCGGAAGGCCTGTCGCCAAGAGCAGCAAGCATTGAAAGGTCTACCCCGAGATATGGTATGCGGATGTTCTAGAAGGTGTTTCTTTTCTTCTTTTGTTTCCCCCCTCTGATGATTATGCATAGGGGAGATAATTTAGAGAGGGAAGAAGCGCTCTTTCCCCTCCCCCGCTGTCAATAATCCCGCATATGATACCATGTCTACCTACCAAACCGGTACTTACAGAGCACGAGCACAGTTCAGTTGAGTCGGGTGGGAGGTCAGACAGGGTACCGGTAAGTATGGTAGACCCTGAGGCTACCATATGAGAGAATATGGGATGATAGCGTACTCGAGTACTGTACTTGTACAGTACTCGTGCAAGTAGAGGAGGCGGGGTTTGATCTCGTGGGCTCAGTGCTACCCACCCGATAATTTCCCACGAGAGGGAATGGGTACGGGTACCCGGCGATGCTTTTGTGCTTGCACTATGCTGTACGAGACAGGGAATTCTTTTGCAGGTTGACCTAGTTGTCCGCCCACCTACGGTACAGTACTTTATGTGGGTACTGTACTCGTACCGAGTACTTGTGCTTGTTACTGACCGCCGGTTTTTGTGCTGTGCTGTGTTCTGGTTGGTTGGTTGGTTGGTTGGTTGATTGGCGGCGAGTCAGGGCCCGATCTGGTTCCGGAATCTGCTCGAGCACTGTACGAGTACTGTACAGTACCTCGAATACTTGGGATGGGTTGGCGCTTCAACTCTTCCTTTTGTTCCTTTGTGCCTTCCTTCTGTCCGGAATACTGGACGGAGTAGGGTGAAATGGGGTTATACTTTCTAGGAAACATCTCTAGTTGGCAGAGCCCAAATTCCTGCCTGCCTGTTTACAACTAGAACTAGGTATTCTATGCACTGAATTAGACTAGCAATTAAGCCTGGTTCAGAATAGCGACAATGAAATGATAGCATAAAACGGAACTCTCTGGTTAATAATCCGGGTTACAGTACCATATTGGCAATCGCCATCGAAGTATCGTGCTTAACCAGTTGCCATATTTAACCAGCCCTCTCCACCGCCGAATTCCCTCTCTTCTGCGCTGTCCCCGCGAGAGGCAAAAAAAAAAAAAAGAACGGATCCCAAAAACACGCCGTGCGTGCCGCGGTCTGGTCTGGAAGAATCGGCAGCGGCACGCCCGCGCCTGGAGAGTGCAATACAACGTAAATGGAAGAGGCAAAATGGGAAAAAAGAAAAGAAAAGAACTGGGAGGGGAAAAGAGAGAGGGTACAATAATAAAAAAAGAAAATGAAGAGAAAAAAGGTGAGAATTGGAGAAATGTTCCGGCTGCTGGGAGTTATTCCGTTTGCTTTTGTCGCTTATCGTATCTTTGGCTAGCTTGGTTTGGTTTGGTTGGCTGGGTGGGTTGGGCTGCGCACATGATAATGGTGTACGAGCACAGAACGGTACTCGTAAATACAGTGCATTAGGAAGGTGCCGGTCGAGCCGGATTGTTCTTCTAGAGTGGAGATGCTGGGACTGTGCTGAAAGGCTTCGACGACGATGATGACGATGATGATACTTTCCATGTTATCATGCGAAACAATGCCCACTTACTAAGGCACTAACTAACTCCAACCTCTAGGCTAGGGGAACTGCCGCACCGGGGCTCCGTCTGGCTACTCGAGTATCATACTGTATGATACTGGTAGCAGCAAAATCCCTCTTTTTTCACATTCCCCCTACCATACTTACCCTGCCTAAGCCATCCCTCTTTTTCCCTGCGTTGCGGGATATCCTGATACATTGCGAGGCGAACCCAACCCCCCCCCCGATCTTTGATAAGCTTCCTGTAACTCTACCATCCTAAGCGCCCCTGGCTTGTCCTATTTTGCTGCGGCATTATTGGGAATTAGTCTATAGCCTTCAGCCAGCAGGTGACGAACAGGAATCAGTAACAGGTATTGCATTGTTACCCTGTCTTGACAGGTCCGCTCTTTTGCTTTGCCAAATACTGTACCTGTTGTGATACCCTTGTTCGTCACCAACAGGTTCCAATCGCGCCCATCCAGGACCGTATCATACTTTACCGCGAAGGGAAGAGGGGGAGGGAGTGGAAGTTCGCTGAGCGCGCCGCGGCGGGTATGTGATGATAGTATTTCGGCTTTGGTGGAGTATAAGCCGAGTATTAGTCTATAGGGTTTTTTGGCTGTCATACCGTATTCCGTTCGGATCGCAGACCTGTCGGGATTTACTGTACTAGTACTCGTACGGTACTTGTAGCTGCTTGGCCATATAAAGCATCCGGACTTTGGCATTGGCATTGATTCCTTTTTTTCTTTTCGCGCAAGTACTGTGCACGCTGGGGGGTTGACAAAAGTCGGGTTCACTTCCGCAAGGAGAAGTGGCTATTGCTCGAGCAACACGCTGGGGATTTGTGTTACGAGTACTGTACCGCACCCGAGATACCCATACCCGAGCACAACCGCAGTCCCGTTGTTTCCAAGACATAAGAATGCCGCACGTAGCTAACCTTGGCACCCAAGATACCGTTTTCTGCAATGCTCGCACCTGGCGCCACGGAGGAATTCGATTTGACCAGCGGGCTCAGGTCACGACTACCGTACTCGAGTACCACTTGGTTTTGGTTTTGGCCTTGGCCTTGGGTTTGGGTTAGTCTACTTGGGGTGGAGATGGATGGGATGGGATGGGATGGGATGAGATGAGATGGATGGGAGGCTCGCTTGCGGTCTTTGGTTGCCTCGAAGGACAGAACGACTCAATAGAGAAAGAGGTACAAGTACGAGTACTCTTTGGGAAGTGCGCTCTGATGGGGAGTACGGGTGGATGTGGAGACGGACAAAGCACGCTTGATCGGGCACGCCAGTCGGTCGGTCAGTCAGGGTGGACCATCATTACATCCCCATCCTGAGTGAAACAACTGTAATCGCAATTGTTTTCAAATTTCAATCCTCTACCTTATTGGAAAGTGTCCGAAGGGCTTCGATCAATTGAGGGATGGAGTTCCCGCTCGCTCGATCCTCTGTTTTCAGTGTGTCGGGAGGGGACCCTTGATGATAATATTATGATACCGGAGTCTTGTTATTTATTTATTGTTGCTGCTGCTGTTGTTGCTCGCTGTTACTTATTACACGGCAATGGGATTGATTCCTTTCATCTCATCCCGCTTGCTCGTGCTCTTACTTGTACCTGGAAGGACCAGACCAGGTTGAGTCGTATTGTACCGGTAGGTATGATAACCAGGTACGATAGGCGTCCACACGTCAACAGTCTCGCCCACTATGATATCCACTCGCCCTCGAGCACCGTGACCGCCACGGTCGCACGCATCACACAGTACAGTACGAGTGCAAGTAATTGTACGGTTGGCACACCACAAGACGCGAAACCGCACGAGCACGTTATGTTCACGTCCCCTTCCTTCCCACTTCATCATTATTATGCCTCTTCCCTCCCTGTTCCAACTGGCCCACTGGCCCGCACGCCTACGAATGGAAAAGGTGAAAAATGAAACCTGGGGCAAGCCAAGGAAAAAGAAAAAAAGGAAAACGAAATATTGAAACAAAACACCCTCACCCCCCGGAGTGAGGCGTAAAAAAGCAAGATGGAAGGAGTTCATCTTGTATTGTAACTTGTGATTGTATGCTATCATATCAATCATACCGTGCGAGTTATGGCATGTTTGTCATGTCACTCGTGTCAACTAACTTGCAAGCCTTACAGTCAACTACCGACTCACTTATCCCAACCCCCACACGAAATCAGCTTCGATACTTGTAAAACCGTGGGTCGTAATTCGAGAGGGAATTTTTTTTTTTTTTTTGCTCGTTCCCGACGGAGGTTTAGCTGACTGGCACTCAAGGAAAAATTACAAGTACTTACTTGAGTACAAAAAGGGTAAGTTGAGAGCGGCCATCATCCATCGTGTTTGGATAGTGCTCGTTTTTTTACCCGCTTTTTCGGACGGGGGTGTGTGTGTGGAATTGTTGGTAACGGCAATTGTACCGGTACCGGTTATGTTCTTGGTATGGGGGCATTGTGTCATTGTGCCCGCACCTTGAACACGACCAAATTTTCGACAAATAACTATCATCGCGTGCCATTATTTCACCTTTACTTGCTCCTTGCACATAAGGGTCCCAAATCATGTAGGGAACGCATTTACAGGGCTGGTTTCGGTCCGCAGGGGGGCGGATCTTTGCGCGATACTCAAGTAGCTCTTAAAAATTGGGGTGAATTTGGGTGGAGCACCAGGGCAGAGCAATTCGCAAATATATATTTCCAAAAGAGGTAATTCTCGTGCTGCATTGGGACTAGTGCACGGAGTCTGCCTGGCACTCAGGGTAGATTCTACGAGTAGTCTGCCAGTACGTACCATACTTTGCAGGGTTCAATTATTCTGCCCGCATCGTTCGGTCCTGGTTAAGGGCTTGTGGCGATGGAGTGGGGGGAGGATACACTAGTGTAGAGTAGATCTTGCGTGCATTTGGATTTGAGATTTGGAGTGGGGGGGGAGGTGTGCTGGTAGAAGGCGGACCCCGTTGGTATGATGATACTGCATTAGGTACGGTAGAGTACCGTACATGCCAATGAACGGAACGGGGAGAGGTCTGTTCTTGCGGTACTGTACTGTACCTTTTTGGCTGTGCGTTGTTTACTGCACGATACCGCTATCATATTCGCTGTTTGTATGGCGTACTCGAGTATTCGTACAGGTACAAGTAGTACGAGTAAAGTGCCCGGTACCGTACTCCACGATAGTAGCGCCCTTGTTGTTGCTGACTTTGTCGAGATGATTTGGCCCAGTCTGGTTTGGCAGGAAGGATGGGGGGGAGTGCATTTGTAGTCTAGCTGTCGCTTTGTGCTCATTCTCGCAATAGACTGCCATGTCTATGTCGCAGTGCAATGGGAAACTTTTCACGGTGGACGACTACGAGTACTCGAGTATGATAAACTCGTGACTTGTGGTAGCCTTCATCCCTCCATCCCTCCCTCGCATTCTGGCTCAATTTGTGGAAGTTCTGGCACTTTTTGCTCTTGAGCTTTTTTTTTTTTCCTCTTCCCCCCTCTTCGTTATAGAACACTATTATGACCGGACGGGGACTGGTTGATGATAACGGTTGATGTAGCGATTTTTTTTTTTTTTTTTTTTTGGAGGTTACAAGTAGTGTTTGTTAATATATCATACCGATGCTCATTGGGGAAGTCTGTGCCGTTGTTTGGACGGGAACGCTGAATTTTTTTTTTTTTACTCTCCCTCTGAAGGGGGGGAGAGACTATTGTTACTCCAGAGGTACTGTAAGGTAATTCACTATTCTAATCCTTTGACAATACTCGCTCATAATGGTGGAGGTTGGGTGGATTCAATTATTTATTACTGTTTTGAGTTAGCCACATGGGGTTTTTTCGCCATCTTTTTCTCCCCTCCTGTGTGGCTTCAACTGTCATCATCGCTTAGAGCAATTTTGTATCATAGGTTCAAATTTTTACTGGAGGTAGAGGGGGAGGGGATTGGATGGTTATCGTGTCGGTGAGGGCATGTCTTTCTTCTCTCATTGGGTTCCTCCTGCAGTATCATACTCGTACTGTGCCTGTTTCCATCGTTTCCGGCGTGGGGAAGAAAAAAAAAAGAATACAATAACTTGGCGGGTGTGAGAGAAAAAAAAAAAAAAAATACTCGTAAGTTACGCAAATATTGGGCACCAGTGGACAACGGAAAGGAAAACGCACGCAGCAGCGATTTTTTGATCCTTTTTTTCCTTTTTCTAAACCCATTTTTTCTTCTTTCTGTTCTTTCGCCTCTAGCCTAGCAGCTTTGATCGTTCCCATCGAATCCATGCACCCCACCCACCCAGTATTCACACCTTCCCTCCCTCCCCTCACACTCATCTCACCAAAAACTAAAGCTTACACCCTTGCCCACCCCTTCCTTGGCCTAAGGCTGTTCCATCTCAATTCCAAGCCCGGAGGCACTAGGCTATCGTTTTTTTCGGGCCAAAACCGCCTCGGCTTGGTTTTTATATAACTCTCCTCCTTCTCCCCCGTTCTCTCTTTTTTTCTCCTTCTCACCGCTTTCTGCGTGATTCGACCAGCCCCGAAAGATCCTCAAAATCTTTTCCAGGCAATCGCGGAGACGGTGCGTGTGGGCAATTCCTCGGGTGTCTCCTCCACGGCTTCACGCAATTCGGTGTTGTGTGTCGCTTCCGACGGGTTGATTCTACCAGCATTTGGTGCTCCAATCGAGACGAAAAAAGAATAGATCGCAATTTATCTCGACCACCTCTCCCCTCAAACCTTTCACCCCAATTACCCTCCCTCCCTCACTCTCTCCCCTCTTAACTCTTCGCCCCTCTCATCTCTCCCTCACCACCACCACCAATACACCCTCCACTGTTATAAGAACAACACCTTTCTTCCCATCCATCCGTCAGCAATTGATCGAACAAACAACCTTTCGTCGCATTGATATTTCACCATGTCGAATACCGTGGCTGAACACACGCCTTCGGGCGATCATCACATCCGTACCGACTTTCCCTCTGCTCAATTCGACTCTGAGAAGCAGCCGATTGATGAGAAGCCTGGAATCGAGGGAATTCCTCTGGATGATGAGGACGATGAGGATATTGATGGACTTATTCAGGAACTTGAATCCCTTGATGGCCATGACGAAGAGTTTGAGGAGAGTGACGCCGCTCCCGGCTCTAGTGCTCGTCCGGTGCCGGAGGACCTCCTCCAGACCGACACCCGCACTGGTCTTACCTCCGTCGAGGTTGATCAGCGCCGTAAAAAGTATGGTCTCAATCAGATGAAGGAAGAGAAGGAGAACCTCATTCTCAAGTTTCTCATGTACTTTGTTGGTCCGATTCAGTTCGTCATGGAGGTTGGTTACACTGCATCTTTCTTTTCTTTTTCTCTTTCTCTTTCTTACCCTATCAAATTTCCTTGTTCACCCTTATCAAACCTCCCGACTCTTGTGTCACATTTTTGCTAATTGGTTTTCTTTTCTGTAATTTAGGCGGCTGCCATTCTTGCTGCCGGTCTCCAGGATTGGGTCGATTTTGGTGTCATTTGTGCTCTTTTGTTGCTCAACGCTTGCGTTGGTTTCATTCAAGAATTCCAGGCTGGTTCTATTGTCGATGAATTGAAAAAGACTCTCGCTTTGAAAGCTGTTGTCCTCCGGGAAGGCCGTCTCTTTGAGATTGAGGCACCGCAAGTCGTGCCCGGCGATATCCTACAGATCGAAGAGGTTTGTCTTTTTACACCTTGGCTTGGAACTGCACTCTCAAGTCTTATCGTGCGGCCGTTGTACTGATTCGCTGTATTTCAGGGAACCATTATTCCCGCTGACGGTCGCATCGTTACGGAAGACGCTTTCCTCCAGGTCGATCAATCTGCCATCACTGGTGAATCTCTTGCTGTTGACAAGCACAAGGGCGATCAATGTTATGCTTCTTCTTCTATCAAGCGTGGTGAGGCCTTTATGGTCGTCACTTCCACCGGTGACAACACTTTCGTCGGACGCGCCGCCGCTCTGGTTAATGCTGCCTCCGCTGGTACCGGTCATTTCACTGAAGTCCTTAACGGTATCGGAACTGTCCTCCTGGTTCTCGTTATCTTCACTCTCCTCATTGTCTGGGTTTCCTCCTTCTATCGATCCAATGGCATCGTCACCATCTTGGAATTCACTCTTGCTATCACTATCATTGGTGTCCCCGTCGGTCTTCCAGCCGTCGTTACCACGACCATGGCTGTCGGTGCTGCTTATCTCGCCAAGAAGCAGGCTATCGTCCAGAAGTTGAGCGCTATTGAGTCCTTGGCTGGTGTTGAAATTCTTTGCTCCGACAAGACTGGTACCCTCACCAAAAACAAACTCTCTCTCGCCGAGCCATATACCGTCGAGGGCGTCGAGGCTGACGATCTCATGCTTACCGCCTGCTTGGCCGCTTCCCGCAAGAAGAAGGGTCTTGATGCTATCGACAAGGCTTTCTTGAAGTCTCTCCGCTTCTACCCTCGTGCTAAGGGCGTCCTCTCCCACTACAAGGTTCTTGAGTTCCACCCCTTTGACCCTGTCTCCAAGAAGGTTACCGCTATTGTCCAGTCTCCCCAAGGTGAACGAATTGTCTGTGTCAAGGGTGCGCCTCTCTTCGTTCTCCGCACTGTTGAGGAAGACCACCCCGTCCCCGAGGACATTGCCAACAACTACAAGAACAAGGTCGCTGAATTCGCCACTCGTGGTTTCCGTTCTCTCGGTGTTGCTCGCAAGCGTGGTGAAGGCCATTGGGAAATTCTCGGTATTATGCCTTGCTCTGATCCTCCTCGTCACGATACCGCCAAGACCATTAATGAGGCCAAGACTCTCGGTTTGTCCATCAAGATGTTGACTGGTGATGCTGTTGGTATTGCTCGTGAAACTTCCCGCCAGCTCGGTCTTGGTACCAACGTCTACAATGCCGAAAGGCTTGGTCTTAGCGGTGGCGGTGATATGCCTGGTTCTGAGGTCTATGATTTCGTTGAGGCAGCCGATGGTTTCGCCGAGGTTTTCCCTCAACACAAGTACAATGTCGTCGAGATTCTCCAGCAACGTGGATACTTGGTTGCCATGACTGGTGACGGTGTTAACGATGCTCCCTCCCTTAAGAAGGCCGATACTGGTATTGCTGTCGAGGGTGCTTCCGATGCTGCCCGTTCCGCTGCGGATATTGTTTTCTTGGCTCCTGGTCTCTCTGCCATCATTGATGCTCTCAAGACTTCCCGCCAGATTTTCCACCGAATGTATGCCTACGTTGTCTACCGCATTGCCTTGTCACTCCACTTGGAGATATTTTTGGGTCTCTGGATTGCCATTTTGAACGAGTCCCTCAACTTGAACCTTGTTGTCTTTATCGCCATCTTTGCCGATATTGCTACCTTGGCCATCGCCTACGACAATGCGCCCTTCTCCAAGTCTCCTGTCAAGTGGAACCTGCCCAAGCTCTGGGGCATGTCTATCCTTCTCGGTCTTGTCCTTGCTATTGGTACCTGGATTGCACTTACCACTATGTTCGCCGGCGGAAGTGATGATCGCGGTATCGTTCAGAACTTTGGTAATCGTGATGAGGTCTTGTTCTTGGAGATTTCCCTCACTGAGAACTGGCTTATCTTCATTACTCGCGCCAACGGTCCTTTTTGGTCCTCTATTCCTTCTTGGCAATTGTCTGGTGCCATCTTGCTCGTTGATATCATTGCTACTCTCTTCACCATCTTCGGTTGGTTTGAGAACAGCGAACAGACCAGCATCGTCGCCGTCGTCCGTATTTGGATCTATTCTTTTGGTATTTTCTGTGTCTTGGGCGGTGTTTACTGTGAGTAGTACCTTTCATAGCCCTACTTGTTTTTATCAGTTACTAATGTCATTGTAGATCTCCTCCAAGACTCTGTTGCATTTGATAACTTCATGCATGGAAAGACCCCGAAGAAGGACTCGAAGAAGCGGTCCTTGGAGGACTTTGTTGTCTCGTTGCAGCGTGTCTCAACCCAACACGAGAAGTCATCATAATAGAAGGCGTGTTGGTGCTATGCTTTTCATTTGGTGTTGATTTTTTTTTTTTGTATACACTAAAGGGGCACTGCCTTGTTGCTGAACAATTGACGGTTCTCCTTGTAGAGTTTAAAAGAAAAGTGTGGAAGGGAATTTTTTTTTTTGTCTAATGTGTATGAAGAAACGGGACTGTCAATAGCTGTATTATGCATTGTAGAAATTGGGTTTCATGTTTTCCTTTAGCTACTTGAATTAAGCTCTGGTGTTCTATACGAAGAAGTTTTTTTCTTCTTTTCTTTTTCCCTTTACATTTTTGCGTAGGGTCTGAATTGCTAGCCCTGTGCCATACTCGACACCGCAGGTATAGTAGTTCTCACACTGCGACCACGATACCAGCAACCATCAGCGTCCCTTCGCACTGCAACCGACTATTATCAGGGTACCATTTAAGGTTCTTTCGTATTTGGCTTGAACTACCAGCACACAATGTCGGACACAAATGTTCCTAAAATACCAGGATTTTATTATGGCATGGCCCGACCCATTGTTGCGAACAAATTTATGTCTAGTATTGTAGCTCAACTTGACTAACGAACCGCAGATACGGTGAAACGTAAATACTTTAAAATTCTCTCCGACCATGCCGTAGCCTCCTCCTCCACGTCTTCTTCCTCCGGTGGCTCGAGCTTTTACACACCCAGCACAATTGCCAAACTAGAAGCAGAGAAGCAAAAGCTCGAAGCCGATGCCAAACAGGAACTCCCAAGGTCGCGGTACCGCTCTGGGGGCTCAATACTTACGTCTCCGTATCCACGTTGGGCCCTTGAGCGCGAGTTGCTCGTGAGTACACCTGTGTCACGACGAGCGGCGTATAAGAAGTTCATGGCGAGACAGTTGGTGTGTGGAGAGCTTATGCCTGCCGCAAGCGTTGAGCGGGGCGTTAGCAATCTATTTGTCGAGAGAATGGGTGGAACAGTGTATTTCGTCGTTGGGATGGATGACGGGAGCATCACGTCCTTTTGTGCTAATGAGATGGGCGCGGCGGGCCTCGGGCTTGGAGGCGGTATTGAAGGGTTTAAGGATCGTGGGTTCTGGAAGTCAGAGATGGAGCAGAAGATGCAGCGAGACGGGGAGGTGGGGGAACGTCGATTGGTCAAGAGCGATTCGAGCGTTTGCAACTGGGGTTTCAAGCTCCCCGGGATGGTGACCGGAACCGTTGTGATTGAGAACGGGGAGAGAAATCTGGAGGTTATGTGTGGCTTTCTTCACCTGGTCCTTCTCTCAATATGCTATGTGATGATAGCTAACAGAATTGTATGTCAAAAGCGTGTCCTCCCTCTCCAACGCCTTTGCCCACCAGCGCCTGAGCAAGACGGCTGACTTCATCCCACGTACCCGCCGTCCCGCGGGCTCCTACTTCGTGAGGTCCAACATCTTGGACCAACGGCCAATCCTATCAATGACCTGCTCCCCAGACAAGCGGACCATATTCTACGGCCTGGAAAAGGGTGTCGCATTTAGACAAGTCGACAATCAGGCGCACATTAGAGAGGCCGTAACAGGGCTGAGAACCGACATCTTCGCCGTCTACTGCCTCCCCTTGGATGCACCCTCCCATACTGGCTTCCTCGCAGGCGGGCGCGACGGCAAGGTCCGCCTCTTCGACGTGCGTGCGAACCCTCAGACCTGTGCGCCCATCGTGCTCAACGTCGGCAGCGTCCGGCACATCGGGGGTTTAAGTGGGACTGGGCTCGTCATCCGCTGCGTAGACTCCTGCGCCAGATACGACCTACGCATGTCACAGGACAGCAAGGCGCCCGACGCGAAGAGTTATGCCGCGTCCATGTTTCGCGTCCCAGACGGCGATGGAAGGAAGGGTGGCTTCGACATCTACCATGAGGTTGGCTTGGTCGCTGTCGAGGGCGGTGGCGTTGGCACTGGCCATGGCGGCAGCGGCAGCAACGAGAAGGCGGTCTACTTGTTCGATATCGATAGTAGCGATCTCGTGGCCAAATTTCCGCCTGGTCAGGTCAGGTTATTGAAGCCGGAGGGGGGCTATGGGTGGCCAGCTGTGGTGATTTCTGGGGAGCGTGGGGTGGTCGTTTATGAATGATGGGTTGGTTAGCCCTTTCGCCATACTGTACCCTGCGGGATTGTGTTTGTGGGCTTATTTATGTACGTGGATGTTGGGATAGGTATGGAGGGTCATGCTCATTAAGCTACGTAAACTTAGACGTTTTATATCATAGCTAGATGACGAGAGTACATGTGTCCATAGGATACTCTAGTGTCGAAAACAAAAACAGCATTCGCCTAGTCCTCGTGCTGGTCAGGCGCAATGCCAGCCAAAAGGTCCGACACATGAGAACCCGAATCATTACGAGTGATCCATCATGATTCCTCTCATTGGCACCTATGATACACCACGCATGATTACAATGTTCACCAAAGATATGCACACTCTCCAACCTACATAGCTCGACCATTCCAAACGGGACAGTCCCTGAGACCCGGGATTCCTATCATAACAAACAACAAACAGGAGATAAGAATTCACCAACACAACATTTTCAAAACGCCAGACCAATTTTCCCTCCTCCTCCTGCCGAAGGTTATATGATATTCCGATATCCAGTCCTGCCAACTTTGAGCTTCCCACTGATGAGCCCATCACCTATCTCAGGGTGGCCGTACACCCGGAGTTGTGTGTATCCCTTGTCATCATTTCACCCATAATTTTGTCCGACGTTCCTTATGATAATACGTCCAGGAAAATGGGGTTTTTGTATTTGCCATTTTTTCTTTGCTTTTCCCGTCCCTTCCGCTGGTATGTATCCCGGGGCCCCCCTCGGTGATGGTTGGCTGGCTGCGTGGGCTATATGAGAGCATACTACAAAGAAAGCGGGATAACATGCCCAAGTCCTTGACAGTCCCACGAAACCCCACCCCACCTCCACCAAGAACCAATCCCGTCAAGATACGCCAGCATAACTTGGTTGAGTTCCAGTATAATATATAATAAAATAAAATAAAACCCCCGCCAGCCAGCCAGCCGGTCAATATATACCACCGACACAGGATTTACCAGAACCCCTGTGTAGTATGATAGATTTACTAGAGTGGTTGACCTTGAATTCGTGGAAATTTCTTTTGTTTGGTGGGGGGGTTCTGCTGGATGAGTAGATGGGCTAGGGTGTTTTACTGCGCCGGTACCGTGATTTATACGGTATTGACACTAAAGAGTTCGTGAGTATCATAGTTAGTCTGGCGTTTTACAACAAAAACAATGAGCATTTGATAGAAAGAAGCATATATAATATTATTATATTAAAGTTTCCTAAACCATGGAATTCTTTCTGATAAAAAGGGAAATCAGGCCCTATCAATGGGCCCTCGAGAGCAAGATACCGGAGGCATTCGCGGTGGGAGGAAAAAAAATGGATTGAATCTTATGTCTTCTTTTCTTTTTTTCCGTAGTAGTAGAAAAGGTATGATCATAAATTCCTTTTTTGCAATATCAAAACCTTTAGCCTTGTTAGTCACCATGACTGCTAGCACGGGTGTGACAAAAAAAGAAAAAACTACTCAATTTTTGGCCGGAAGGGAAGGAAAGAACCTAGAGGTAGCATATCATACTTTGGCCATTTCCGCTATTGAATACCAGACTTTCTTTACCCTCCATTCCTATAATACTGAGGGGGGGTACTGGAACGTAGTGTATCATATAGTACTCAGGATGAATATATCTCAGACAACTCTGCCCTATATAGGATAGGATAGGACCCTACATTACCACCTACCTATATATCCCCCATCTCTTTCTCTCTCTACCCATTCATTCACATCTTTCATAGGGTAGTAACCAACACCTCCCCAACTTCTTTACTGGTGGGTTAGAATTGTAAGTTATGATGACGATCCGCTACCCCCTCGATCTCTGTAATTCTCCAGGATTCTGAGTCAGAAGGCTACCGGCATTTTTCTTGACATTTGTGCCCCCCTGAACGTATTGTATCTCAATAACCGGCACTGTATTCGACATAACTCTCTCTCTCTCTCTCTTAACCCGTAAAACTACCATAGACCTACCTACCTGCAAGGAGAGAGAGTGTGTGCCTGATGCCGGAGATTAAGTTTAGAGGCCTGACGGAGGTGTGATACAAGTAATGGGTTTTTTTGTGGTGTATAGTGAGTGACTCACTCGGAGGGGGGGGGGTCTGACGAGGAGAGTTCCGCTTGTTGCGTTCAACCCGGCAGCTGTGATGTACTTGTACTGGTACTACATACATCCCTGTCACCCGGGGGGGGAACATTCCGGTTAAGTTACCGGCACTCGTAAGGGTGATCAAGAAGGAGGAGGAATCCGGGGGTGAAATATTTCAGAGGGGAACTCTTGGATGGTATCGGATTTGAACTGGAGCCCGTAGTTGGAGATCGGGGTTGTCCTGGTGGTCTTGAAGAGGATTCAGATGTAGTCAAGTAGTAGTTGTATGATACTGAGAAAGATCGGGGAGAAGGTGGGAACATTTTAGAGTTTTCACCTCCTGCCGTAATGGCACTGTGGTATATGCGTCCACTTCTATCTCATTTCTCCAATTCACAAACACCCTCTAAATAAAAATAAAATAAACAAACCTCCCACACACAAACAATCTATGAATATAATAATAATGTTATTATTATGATACCAATCTTCACAAACCACCACCCCTCCCCCAGAACCCGAAAACTAAAAACCCGTGAGTAGCCTAGTATCGTAGCATCGTAGCAGTAAGTAAATAATCAGCACAACCGGTATATGTGGCCTTCGAATTCCTCTCCAAATTCGGGCCCCCGCCCACGAACCCGCGTTGCGAATGGAATCCCGGAAAACCTAAAAGGCCACCTTTCTTCCTTTGTCCCTTCCTTCCGCTAGGCAGGCTTTCTGCGGGGTATGATATTATGGACAAATAAGGCACCATCACGAGAAGCGGGGAGGGGGAGGACAGGTTTTCAATATACTTATCGAAGCTACGGCTAAGGCTAGGGTTTGATAGAAGGGTTTATTATACGAGCTTCCCATGAAGGGGGTGGTGGGTGACGAAGTCAATTTGTGCATTGCGGAAAGAGAATTGTGCTTGTGAGGGGACTTGAAGGTGCGTAAGTTTTGTTTTTCTTTCCTTTTTTCCTTCTATTCCTGAGGTTTGTGCTTGGAAGCGGAGTGAGTGCTGATAATGGGTTCGATTTATCATGCATCCATATCCGGGAAGGCCATCTAATCTACCTCGATGCCCTTCACAACACCCCTCTAGTGCCCTAGTGCGGAAGGTGGATGCCAGAGCCGTATATAACGTCCCATTCGACGGGCCAATCTACCGGTACTGTACTTCAATCCTGCACGAGAGTTGGCAGGGAAAGAAGAACCAGAAAGGGTCCTCCTAGCGAACTCGCACAGGAAGTCCATGCCCCCCCCCCACCCCTTCGTATGTAATCGCTTTTGGCTGTATGGCAGGTCATGGGGCCCAACGCTGAGTCCACAACCGTGGGCCTGGAGCCGCACGTCAAGGGTCTCGTGGGCGGCGGGAGACGAAATGGGGAGTTTGTGAGGCGGTGGTGAGGTAGCTTCTTCCTTCTTTGGAGTTGGTTGGTAGCGGGGGAGACAACCGTGACGGATGTGCTTTTGGAGGAACCTTCTGGAGAGGAGAGAGGAATAGGGCGGGTACTTTCGGGTGCTTCGGGGCAATTCTGATCGAGACGGAGAAGACTGGGGGGTATGTTTGGGCGATGCGGATGTTGTCAAAAAGACTGTGAAGTCATATGTTGTCACTCGGATGATGGTCCAGTCTGGTGAGGAGGATTGGATTGTTGCTGCCTAACTCTGCTTAGAGATGGCCATTCGGGGTTGAATACGAGAAGATGAGGGTTTACTAAACTGGTGATTTGGACACCTTGCGGGATTTCGAAACGACATATTGCTAGCTAGCTGGCTAGTCGGATATAACAGGTCCGTATCCCGATCACTTTCCCAGCCTTGGACCCATTGCCATATATACGCTGTGCGATTTTGTCTCAAGTGCAACCTCCTTTTATGCTCTACCGTTCCAGGGCCATCCCCGGACTATCTATCTTTTTCGGCACAGGAAGAGCGCTTGTACTCCCATGAACAGAAACCTGGCGTAAGAGTCTTAAAGATATGATATATCACATAACCCCCTCCTACTCCACTATAGCCACACTGTTCACGTTACTGGCAAGAAGAACCTAAATATTTGAGTCTGAATTTAATATGGGCGCTCAGATATGCACAGACAATCCGCCATACGAATTTTTGACCCCTATGCTCAGGTTCTTCGTACAGGTAACGAGTAACCATGCTATGCCCCGGAGAATTTCAGCGTGAGCGGGAATAGAAACTCGGGTGGTGGAATGGGAACATTCGAGAATGGGCGGATATGGAGCCGTTTCGGAGGGTATGAATGGATGGACGGATAGGGTCCGAAGTTATCGTTCCCACACGATACCGTTCGTACAGAACTCATTGATTATCGGGATTGATACATACGGGGCGCAGCTGGTGGGCCGGTGTATATATATATTACATATAAATAACATATTATATATCTGTGTGTTTTGTAAAAGTACGTGGCATTTGGCAGAAGTTGTGGAACTCCCAACGGGGTAATTGCGCTTGATTGCGGTCCAGGTTGTAAAGCGTATATGTGTCTTCCGTGGCGAGGTCGTCCTCCTATCCCTCTGACGTTTTTTTTGGTTTCTTTCTAGGGGTGTATATTGCTCTCGATTTGTTCCTGGATAGCTAGCTAGCCAGTGCGTCGACCACCATTTTTTTCTCCACCCATCCATCGGCACGTTAGGGTATTTCAAAATACTAAAAAGACGTCGGTTTGCAAGGCTGTTTCCGAAAAGCCCCATCCATCCAAAAGCCTTGCCAGCTCCTATCGTAATGACATCTCAACCTCGAGCAGGGTATGGGGTTTTTCTTTTCTTTTCTAGCAGCCTTGTGAAACGAGGGGAGGCGCGGTACGATGTCTTGAGGTACGTGCGGTAGTGCACGTACCCAACACACGTGTGTTGGGTGGGTAGGTGGGTAGTACCGGCATGGGGAGGGGGTTCTCGGCATAGCCCGTGCTAAGTTGGAGTTGCGGGGGTAGATATCT